CAAATTGAAAATTTGCTACCCTAACACCTAAAAGACTTATTTAAGCAACTGCTTAATTACCAAATTGGTAATAGAAGGGATGGTTTTCTGTTGGAAATTGAACAACGAACTGCCTAACTAAAATTCTTACCAAGATTTTAATTATTGATAACAACAAGTTGGATAAAACATTTTTCTAGCAACCTTTGCGGTATTAATCCAATAAATTAAACCATAAATAATGCTCCTACTAAGAAATATTTTTCTTTATCGTTGTGGCGATAAAGGCAGCTATGATAAAAAAAAATTAATAATGCATGAATCGTTCCTTTGTCCTCGAAAAACTAAAAGATTGGTCTTAAAGTTTGTTAATAGACTCTCAGCTTCACCTTTCTGTTTTCTTTTTTTGTTTTTTTTTTAATCATAAGTTTGAAAATTTTGCTTATTCTCTACAGTAACCCAGAGATGGCAACTTGCTCCGGACAGTAAATATATATTTCAAAGTGGTAGTTTATCAATTGTGATTCTTGGTTTAATAAATTCAATTTAGTAGATTTTTATCCACCACTATTTCTAAACAATTCGTAGGCTTATATAATTCACCACTTTATGTTAGAGATGCCAACTGCTCCGGACAAGCCAGAATTATTTAAAAAAACGGTAAATACATACAAAATAAATTTTGCAAATATTTGACTACTTTTGCTTGTTTTTTATAAGGTATAGAATGACTTAAGTACTATAAAGTGATAAATTATCTAAGCCTACGGATAATTTAGAAATAGTAGTGGATAAAAATGTACTAAATTGAATTTATTAAATCAAGAATCACAATTGATAAACTACCACTTTAAAATATATATTTGCTGTCCAGAGCAAGTTGGCATCTCTGCTTTATGGTACTTATGTCAGCATTGACACAGGGGACTTCTCCCGTATTCCTTCCCCCCTCTTTAGCTTAAAGCCAATAGTCACAGTCGCCTAAGGGCTAAACTTATTAGATGAAAAAGTGAGATGCCCGCTTCCCGGGCAGGTACTTTGAATAACTTTACATCATTGGTTCTCAACGGGGTATGTCAGCCTAACGTCATTAGTCTCAGTTGCTCAAGGGCCAGTAACCAGATGAAGAAGTGAGGTGACAGTAATGTTTATTGATTTGAACCAGAAAAAGATCAATCTCCCATTGCATTGATTTGTTATTGGAACATGGAAGACTTTGTGACCAGTCAGATTTAATTTGCACCATTTACTACTCTTGTCATTGGCCGGCGGGGTTCGGACTCACGACCTCTTTGACATGGGCCCAAAGTCCTACGATCCAGTTTTTCCCGGAAAACAAACTATTTTGTTTTATAATGATTTTAACCATAACTAATTATAAATACTTTCTATAGATAATATAGATGGGTAATGCCATTTGTTTCAGTTGCCCGATGGCTCATCGCAGAGTGGATTGTCCGTTTGCGCAAACAGGTGATTTATTCGAGCTCGTATGAAGTCAATTAATGCATGCTAATCTTTCGATGATGTCTCGAAGCTCTGGTGAAATATAAAAGTTCTATAAATGACATTTATTTTTCAGTTTTATTTCATTATTATTGAGGAAGTCCATTCTTACCAAAGAATGAAACGTGGCCTCCATTGTATTCATTATTTCGAACAAGCTGTGGATTCCCTAAAATCAAACGAAATTTCGACTTTATTTAGAACTTTTTTTCTTCTGATTTTACGGATGGTGTTTTCAATATAAATGTAAACAATAACAGTCTCGAGCTCAATACCTGCTCTAATTTTGTTTTCAATAAAAGAAGTAAATTAGATAATTTTTGAGCACAAATCTGACGTATTCCATAAGATATTAATGTTATTAAGTAATTCTGGTGAGTTTGAAGTGAAAGTTTGTTTCAGTTATTTATAGATACATTATTAAAAAAAGATGACAAGGTTGCTAGATTTTGAATAACTCGCTTTTTTTGGCAGTCCTGATTTGGCCTCTTTCTATTTGTTTATTACTGTTTGTTCTTGTTGTAAGCTGTGCACCATCGTACGTTAGTGTTAGCACTTTTAGCATTGTAAACACAAGTAATAAGTAATCAAAGACCACGTTTGCAAGAATCTCAAAACACAATGATCACGTTGCGAGCCAAATGGCTTTAAAATACGCCGGAAACAGTAACCCGGAAGTATAGACGGTATGGACAGGGTTCCCGCGGTCCTTGAAAAATTTAAAAAGTGGTAGTAAATTTAGGGTGGAGCTACAATATATTTTTTTGTTTTAATAAGCTTTTTCATCGTAAAGTGCTGAAATTTTCGTGAATATATATATTTTTTAGAAAACATCTTTTAGTGGTGGCTACACAGAAATAAAAATGTCAAAATTTCTTTTATTTTTATTACCACTTTTTAAAATTCTCAAGGACCGTGGGAACCCTGATGGAGCTTGCAACGTTCCCTAGTTTAGAAAACACCATCCATAGTTTGTTTCGATTTTTTTTTTAATCTTTTGGATTTCTCTTTATTTACTGTAGTTTTCCTTTATTTTTGTAGTGTTTTGGAAGTAATAACATGTTTCATCATAAAAAACAAACTTGATTAATGACCAACTTAATATGATGTTTTTTATTTATAGATCCACTTCCATGGGAGCGATATGAGACAACTACATCAGTACATACCTAAAGAAATTCTACCTCCTGAATACTTAGGCGATAACATTAACTATTCTGCAGTTGATTTTGTTAAAAAGGAGATTAGTCCATTCATCAGTGAGATGCTTAATAAAGGCTATTTTTGACATAAAATAAAATTAATTAACAAAATAATATTTTAAAATAAAAAATCTCGTTGTCAATGGTAATTCATTCATTCGTAAATATCAATTTCTTTAATCCATATAAGATGAGCTGCATAAGTCAAAACAAAACGCTTTATATGAGAAAAATATATTGAATAACAATAACGAGGAATAATGTTAACGTTACAGTGTCTGAATGGAGTCGGAATAATAACGTTACTGCGCTAAGCGCCATCTGTGAGAATGTGAAATAAATGTTCTTAACATATTGTAAATATTTACATATTATGTTTATAAAACGAATAAGAAGTTGAACTTTTATATACTTCAAATATGACTGAGGGGAAATACTATGACGATTTAATTAGAAATTTATATTGAAAATAAAGGGTTTTTTCTGTTTGCTGTAACTTGTTTGTTTGATTTGTTTGTTCAACTTGTTTGTTTAATTTGTTTACTTAATTTACGTAATGCTTATATGTATGTAATAAGTAATATATAAAACGCCAAGACATTATTAAAAATAAAAAATAATTTATTCGTTGATTTTAGATGAACTGTTTATCTTTGTATTTATTAACTTCAAAAAGTTATTGCATACAAAAGTAAAATATAGCGTTTTGTCGCTTATAAGCACAGTGAAACAACAATATACATAAAGGTTAAAAATGGTGGCCAATTTATGATAAAGTAAAGAGTTAAAACATTCACCACGGATCTCTAAATATTTTTGAAATATTTATATGCCCTGAAGTAAAAAATCTGTTTAAAATCTTATTTATTTAATTGAAAAATAAAAACATGCCTTAGTTAGATTTTATTTGAATGATATCAAAACGATATGTAGAAAAAGAATAATTTGTGCAAATTTTATTGTGATACGGGTTAACATAGTCCAAGGTCCTCGAAAGATAATGCAGCATCCATCACTTATTCAAATATTTATATCGCGCGATATTTTGATGCAAATTAAAGAGGTGAGTTTTATTTTAAAATATTTTTGAAATCTTCATATTTTTATTTCATAGGGAATGGGATAGTATTATAATTTGAAATGTTCTTTTTCAACTAGATTGGTACTTTGGTTTGGATCTTTCTTTTAGTATCAATAAATAAATGCTTTATGATTTAAAACTTACACATTGACGGCTATGCTGTTGTAAGTTCTGCTAAAATTAAACAATGATATTTGTTAATTCTCGTAAACGTAATTAAAACACAACTTTCCAAACTATTATTTAGAAAAGAACACCATCTACCTTTATTTACAAACGACTTCTACAAAGGTGTTGCCATGCAGAGACTACTAAGTTCTTTTATTTAATCTCGTTACTAAGTTAATTACAGGCTTGCAACATCCTCCCCGCCCTGGTCGACCTCCAGGGGGATGACCAGCTGCACGGGACGGGAAATTGTCCCTCCATTTACACGCAGTATGCACGTACGGGCTTTGTTGTCACGGCCTAAGATCACTGACTCGACGCTTGCTTTTCTCCAAGTGTGTCGAGGTCTGACGTCCTCCTGCAACAAGACCTCATCTCCGACCCGGATTACAGTTCCTTTAGATGGGTTCTTCACATGGTGAAACGTTCTCAAGTCCATCAAATACTCCCTCTGTCATCTTTTCCAAAGGGAGTCCATTAATTGTTGACGACTTCTCTATATGCGTGTTAAATCAGAGTCTGAACTCGATGGGCCAGAAGAGATAGTTGTGAGTCGTTTTCCTATCAGAAAGTGAGAGGGTGTCAGTGCTTCGTCCGGATCGTCTGTAATACCATATTCATGGACAATTGGTCTGCTGTTCACGGCGGCTTCGATATCGCATATAACCGTGACCTGACCGGTAGTGTCTAACCTAGCTTTACCAAGGGTCTTCCGCAGACACTGTTTGATAGTACCAATCATTCTCTCCCAAAACCCTCCCCACCAAGCCGCTCGTGAGGCGATGAATTTCCATGTCATGCTGTGATGAGCATAAAACTGGTGCACCTTGGAAGAGAATATGATGTCCCACAAGGACTCAACTCCTTGTCTGCAGCGCCGAATGTTGTGGCGTTATCTGTGTACACAGTATGAGGAAGGGAACGTCTAGATATGAACCGTTGTAGTGCAAGTAAGAAAATATCGGTGCCCAAATTAGACACTACTTCCAAGTGGATGGCTCGAGTTACAGCACACGTAAATATGACTATGTAGGCCTTTGTAACCAATTTTTCGTTTTTGACATAGAGGGCTCCGGCAAAGTCAATTCCAGTTGTTTAAAATGGGGTCGACTTTTGAATTCTTTCAGCGGGTAACGGAGCTTCTATTTGTTCACCACGCTTTTGCTTCAGTATCTTGCAAGGAAGGCAAGTGTGTATGATCTTTTTAATGGCTTGTCTTGCTCTTAATATCCACAATTTAGAACGAAGCTGAGAAAGCACAATCCTAACTCCTAGATGGTGCATTTTTAAGTGTGTGCGGCGTATGAGCAGGCTTGTAAAAGGGTGAGAACCTTCCAATAAGATGGGATGTTTTTCCGATTCTGATAAGTCAGAAAATTGTAGTTGGCCTCCAAGACGTATTAAGTTGTTGTCAAAAAGTGGGTTGAATTTTTCTATTTTTGAGTTCTTGGGAAGTGAATTTGATTTCGACAAGGCTTCGTGTTCTAAAGGAAAAGATTCCTTCTGAACGATTTGTATCCAATAGTTGCAAGCTTGATCCAGTTCCGTGGCATTCAATTCACCAACCATCTTTTCTTGTGTATTGCAGTTGTAAATAAAGCGAAAAATCCAAGATGTCACGCGTAACAATTTAAAGTAAGAGCTGTAGTTTCCAGCATTGATAATTGGCAGAGAAATGACAGTGTGAAGAGTCTGCACTTTCTTCTTTAATTCTAAGTTGTGAGTGTAATCTTCATAAGTGTTTTTAGAATCAGGCCAGTTTTCAGGTTTGATTAACCACTTAGGACCATGCCACCAGATTTCTAGATGTCTTAGTGTTGATGGTGAAGTACCTCTTGATAATATATCACCAGGATTGTCCTTTCCAGGGCAATGTCTCCATTGGGAAGGATTAGTATGAGAAACAATTTCTGTAACTCGATTGGAAACAAATGTCATCCATTTATTTGGGTCACTGCAAATCCAACCCAAAACTACTTGAGAATAACTCCGCAATGTTGCATTGGACATAGGAATATTAGTCTCAGCACAGAAGTATCGCAGCAATCAAGCTCCCATCAGAGCCGCTAGCAGTTCCAAGCGGAGCAAAGTGACTTTCTTGATAGGTGCAAGTCTGTTGCGACTGCACACTAGATGCACGTTTGCTTGATCACCTTGAGAACTAACTATGTATAGAACTGCTTCATAGGCTCGTTTAGATGCGTGACAAAACACATGAATAGTAAAGGGAACGTGTGATGAAACGCCTATAAATCGAGGAATTTGAAAGGAGCTAACGTCATCAAGTTCTCCAACAGCAGCATTCCATGAAGTTGCCAAATTAGAGGGCAGTATTTCGTCCCATTTGATTCCTAGAATCCATATATCTTGAAACAGAATTTTTCCAAAGATTACAAAAGGAGAAAACAGTCCTAAAGGATCGTAGAAGCTAGCAATACAGTGGAGTAGCCATCTCTTTGTAAGTGGTTTGTCTTGAACAGCGCAGAGAGAGGTTTTGAAAGTATTTCCGAGGGTGTCATTTTCTGTATTCCACTCTATGCCTAAAACTTTAACAGTTGTTTTGAATCCTTCATCTTGATCTCGTAATTGGCTCTGAAGCATTGGGGAGTTCGTAGCCCATTTCTCCATTGGAATTTCAATCAATTGCATCAATTCTTTGACTTCTTTATGCAGTGTGGCGATTTCAGATTCTGTTTCAGCACTAGCAACAAAATCGTCCATGTAAAGATGTTTATCGATCATGGGAGCAGCAATTGGGAATTCATGTACGTGCTTTGAAGCTACTTCGCGTGTTGCAGCACATAACAAAAATGGGCTGCATGCTAGTCCGAAAGGTAGACGAGTAAATCTATAAGTAATTATTTCGTCCGTGAAAGATGGGTTAGCTTTGTCCTGTGATAGTCTGTACCAGAAAAATCTTGTGGAATCTCTATTTCTTTCGTGAAGGCTTAGTTGTAGAAAGGATTTTTTTCCGTCACCTGTGACTACAAATTTGTGCATTCGCAGTCTGAGTAGACAACCAATCGTCTCAGGTAAAAGATTTGGACCGATTTCTAAAGTATCATTCAGTGAAGGCATTCCTGGATCATGTAATAAGGCATCGAACACAATCCTCCATTTGGTCTCGTTAAGTTTCACTTTTTTGACAGCATGATGGGGTGGGTAAAATACAGTGTTTAAATTTGAAGGTTCTAGCTCATAAACTTCAACGTGACCTTCTTCAATGTAGTTTAGCATACAACTATCGTATTCTTTCTTCACAGCATCATTAGATGCAAGTCGCTTCTGGAAAGATTTCAAACGTTTTTCGGTAGTAGCTATGTTAGTAGACAAAATTGATTTTGTACTCTTCCTAGGCAGAGACACAACTCTACGATTTCCCTCAGTTTGGTAGGTTTCGTGAAATTCTCTCATAATATCATTCTCTCGAACAGTTTTGTTCCTGATTTGAGTGTCTTTGATACCGATACAATCCAACTCCCACAAGCAACGCACTTCGTCGTGCAAACAATCACCAGAAATTTGAACAGAAACATGGCGAACTGATGAATCATGTTTGATGGTGGTGTGTGTTCGTGACCTATTAAGGATCCATCCAAAAATAGAGGGTACTATGCCAACAGATTCTGTTACTTTAATCGGGGGTTCCGTAGTGACCATATGCCAATAATAGTCGCCACCAATCAGCAATTCGATGGGTAAGTTGTCGTCTCCTGGAGGGTCTGCAAGTGTTAGTTTTCGGCTTCGAGCAAATCGAAGAACGTCTGCAGGGGCAACAGGGTGTGAGGTATATCTGTTGGAGCTTTCGAAAGCTGTTATAGAAACAGAGTTTTTGTTCCACAAACTTGAAAGTGAGAGTTGCACACATCGTCGCATGTTTCGTGAAGTACTGGGAGATTCAAAAACATGTACGTTTAGTTGCCCTGTGCTTACAATTGGGAGTTTCAGTTTGTCAATGAGGCTTGCATGGACAAAACTTGCTTGGCTACCTCCATCTAAAATGCATCGGGTTAACTTCGTAAGACCTGTGGGGCCAGTAACATACACGCGTGCAGTTTGTAAATGGGTAAAGCTAGTTTTATGTATGTTAATGTGATGAACCTCACTATTTCGGAATGCAGTGTTTTGTGCAGATGAACAAATGGATACGTGGTGTTTCTTCTTGCATTTTGTTCAGCGAGCAGTATCTTTACGAGGGTAATTTGTCATTCTGTGTCCTCTATTAGTACATAAGAAACAACGGTTAGAGCCTTTTAACTTTGCTATGAGAGTATCATAGCCAGTTTCGGTTTCGCATTTCTGAGCCCAATGACCAGAAGATTCACAAAAGGGGCAAAAAGGGGTATAATTCTTTTTCTTGTGTACAGAAGTGGACTTAGTATTTACGTTAAAGGCAGTAGTTGGAGTAAATGGTTCAATAAAATCACCTTTTATTTTTGACGTAGTAATGCTTCTTGCACTTCTTGTGATAAGAACTCCATCATTTTCGTAATGTTTCCTTCAGCCAATTTTTCTCTTTGGGCATGAATGATCCACTGTATACAAATGTCATCTGGAAACGCTCGTAGTAATTTTGGAGCTAGTACACGACCGTAACTGTCAATGTCTTCACCAAGTGCGCGTAAGGCCTGCAATCTTCTATTACATTCAATGTAGGTTTCATTTAGGGCTGTTGCCGATGAGTTGCGTACTGGTGTTAGATTTTCCAGAAAGTCCAAATGTGCTTGGATAATTCTATTTTTGTTCCCATATCTATCCATTAGAAGCTTTTTAGTGGTTGCATATGTGGCAGCAACAATATTGATACCATCAACTAAACGTCTTGGTTCGTCTTGCAAATGACCTCTTAAGAACGCATGTTTGTCAATAGTTGAAAGGCTTGGATTGGAGTCTACAGAAGATTGGAATTGTTCCCAAAAACTTTGCTAATTTTCAATTTCTTCGCCAAATGGTTCTGATTTAATCGTCGGTAGTTTCACTGTGTACGTTGGGCTAACAGGTGTTATCTGACCAGCAAGTGATGGATTAGTAGCAGAATTAGTCGCCAAATCGACATTTTCAGTGCCCAAATTAAGATTAAAGCTAGCGTTAATAGTTGGCGATAATTTATTTTGGATGTTTTTTCGGGGTTTAAAAATTACGCGCTCAGCATTTTCTGTATAAGTTTCACATTGGGTAATGTCATTTTCGTATTCGTCATCCGTAAAAAGAACATGGATTTCATTATCAATCGTTTTCATTTCATACCGCATATTCCACATCGTCATTCGAAGTATCGTTTGTCATGTTGTAATCTCAGTTGAGAAACGAGTTATGTTTCCTCGAATAGTTTTTCATTTCCGCTTCAATTGCGACACTTGTTCTTCTTTCGTCGCCATTTTTCTTTCGTGGAGATCAAAGTTCGCAATAGTAAAAGTTCGCAATGGTAATAGTTTCGTAAAAAACTTTTGGCGTAATTCGTAATAATTTTTGGCGTAGTTCCAAGTCGCTGATTCGTATGAGTATTTCGGCACCAGATGTTAATTCACGTAAACGTAATTAAAACACAACTTCAGTATATTTCGAAAAGAACACCATCTACCTTTATTTACAAACGACTACTACAAAGGTGTTACCATGCAGAGACATCTAAGTTCTTTTATTTAATCTCGTTACTAAGTTAATTACAGGCGTGCAACAATATTGATTGATAAAAATATATATGTATCTCTCATTATAAAGACAAACGTCCAAATTTTAATAATAATAATAATAAACACGAAATATGATCCAAATACATAGTACACTTGTTGCAAGTATGAGCAAAAATAATTAATTACTAAAAAAACCCACCTAAAAACAACTAAAAAACCACCTAAAATATATTTGAAAGTCCACTTTGTTACAAGTGAAAAAGAAGGGTTTTTAAATTTTGCAAATTAGTTCATATAAACTTAAATCAATTAATGTACACAATGAATACAAAGATCTGAAGCTCTATAATGAGCAATAACTAGTTTAATTTAATTGAAAAATTCCAACTGCAAACGTATGAAAAGGAAACTCAACAATTATTTGATACTACAAACGTTTTGCGCAATTTTATTCACATTTCAGAATGTTTTCCGTGTGATTTTATTTTTGAAGTGTGTACTACTGAAAATATTAAAACTGCGAGTAGTTCCGAAAAGATTTTTGATTATTTAAAATATTTCACATTCAACGAGCTGAAAGAAAAAAAATGTACAATTCAATTACAATTCCTAATATTTAAAATTTTTCTACACTTTTAGACGATTTTCGAACAAAAATCAATAAATGATCGGAAAAAAACATCCTTCATCTGTAGAAAAATTGAAACTATAAACTGCAAATTGAATCTATAACTTCGAATTGAATCTGCTCATAATGTAAAATATTTTATATTAAAATTACTAGAAAACTAAAATTAACATAAATATAATTATGGACAAGTAGTATGTGAAGTATTTGTGTCATGTCAAAGATGCTTTTTTTTTATATTTTTGAGAATTTTCTCAAGTTAAAAATTATATGAGTAAGGTTTGTAATTATATAAAAAGGCAGCAACTGGGGTGGGGGGTTCGAGTAATTTATGAATTTGTTACCACTTTATTCCTTATTTCTACATTAGTAAATCTTTTAACGAAACTCTATATTTTGAACTTCTTTTGGGAAAAATGATTCCCAAGACATTTTGAAAGAAACTGTTACTAACCGGTTTAACGGTCACGTGACATTTCTTTATAGATGATATTCAAAACCTGGTGTCATGGTGTAGCAATGTTAATGGTGACTATGTTGAAAAAAGAATAAATGTTCATATTTTTGTTAGTTATACAATTTATGTTCAGATACAAAGTTTCTCTCACTCCAATATAAAAAAGTTCTTACTAAAAAAGTGATCTTTGTTTTAAGAAAAAACTTGGAACAAGAAATTATTAAATAAAGTATGGAAATTGTGACTAGAAATAATTATTAATCATATTTTAATTTATTTTGAGCCACCTGCGCTACTTGTTCTTAACCTGAATTATAATACAAGTTTTTGTCAAGCTTGTCGCAAGGATTTTCCAGGTTTTGATTATACAAAATGCATTACTTGGACTTTGTCTGGTCAGAAATCAAGTTTCCTAACCTAGTGAAAACGTTAAAATAAGCTCAGAAGTTAGGATTTTTTTAACGCTTAGTAGAAAAAAACTACAATGTTCAACGTTATTTATTTTGTTTAAAATATCAAATTTATACTTTCCTAAAAATTGTAAGTTTCTTCTGACTTCTGGGGAAATGCTATTATTTTAATAAATTCATAAGAGAAAATAATATTTAAAGTGCTTCAAGACAATAAAAAACTGAACATTCCATTTTAAAACAAAACACAACAATGTGATAAAAAAAAAACTCTTCATTTCAGATATTTATTATTATAAAAATAAAAATATCTAATTTACATCTATAAAAATATTATGAGAGGCTATGTACATGTCAAAATATAATCTATTTCGTGTTTGTATAAATATCTGATGCATGTAATCTTAAAACATTTTATATATTAACAATCATTTTAGCAACACCTTTAAAACATTATTATTTGAATGAAGGCAGAATCAACAATTATTTTTTACAGTTAACATGAATGAATAACTTGTGGAAAAAAACTCTACGTAAAATCAGAAAGTTGTTTTTTTTCTTCTCTTTTTTGCAGTAATATTTAAAAATTATACTAACTTCATTTAAGACACATTTATTTTATAGAAAAACAAAAAAATTTCCGGTTTAGAAAAGGAAAAAAAAATACGTATGTGAAATTTAAGAATGAAACTAAATTCATTTAAAACACATTTAAATTTTATAAGAAAAAAGAAATTTTTCCAGGTGGATGAAATTTCTTGCTGGGATCTTTGGCGTGATCTAAGAGCAATTGGCAGGGGGTGAATTGTGGACCATAAATTGCACTAAATTGTTCCATCCATTTCACTAACTTATCAGCCCCGTAGGTGTCTGTGTAGCGGAAGGGTCCTCCAAGGAAAGGTGGGAAACCAAGACCAAATACTGCACCAATATCGCCTTCCAACTGTGTAAAAAAAAGATTAATTTATTAATAGAAAATTCTTTGCTCGTTAAATATCCCTTGCATTAATTTTTATTTAATTATGATCAAATAATAATCAAAGTTTAAAAACTCAGATACAGCAAAGGAAAGTTAAAGCAATAAAAGACAGATTGAAGCAAGTATAAATAAATAATTTATATACCGATACTGTGAAACTTTTATAAACTTAATGCCTTCAACTGTCCAGCTATTTGAACACATTTATACAAAACATTTCTTGTCGAACAATGTATATCGATTGAAAAATAACATTCTCTCATTTAATGTCAAATTTAAGCTCCTAATTCACGGCTGTAAAGCTGAAACTTTGTTGAATTTTTTTTCCATGCATATTCTTCATACATAAACAATGCATACTTATTTACACAGAATAAGATGGAAGAAATTGAACTAGTTTTTATCTCCATTGTATACGTAATTATGATGGGCTTATATTTATTGGAAAAGTTCAGTCGAAGAACATGTTGACACTTTAATAAAATTAGTTAGTCATGCTATTCCTGCGCTTTATTGGCAATAAACTCAATTTAGACTGTATAGAGATTATAACAATCTAAATGTTAAGGATTGTTAGTATAAAGGATAAGTACTTACAGGATTGGCAAGGATACCTTCTTCCAAGCAGAGAATAGCTTCATTTATGCATCTTGTAATTATTCTCATCTGAAGCTCTTCAGTAGTGCACCTTTTAATAAAATAAATAGGCGGAATCATGTATATATATATATAAATAAAATAAAGTATTTCCGCAACAGAGCTTTGTGGGCCGTGCCAATGCCTCCACACAGTTTTTTGTAGGTAGTCCGATCACACTGCTATAAAGGCAAACTGGTTTATGAAAGAGCCATCTAATACATAATCTAGTAAAAATAAAAAAGTGGTAGCAAATATATGCCCAAAAAGTTGCTTAATTTATGAATATTATTGATTTGTGTTATTTACCTGTCAACCACTACAGATTCAATTCTCAAATATATATCAAAAATATCTCTCAGTCAACTTTAAAATAGAATATGGTTTCATGCACACAACTGGTTCACTTTTTAAATAGTCTACGCAGACTACTTATAAAATACCATGTGGAGGCCTTCTGATGTAGGAGGTGAGGACCATGCTGTCATGGAGGTCCACAATCTCGTGACCAACTGCACGATTGTGGTTGTATGTTCAGCATTGCATATAGTCACATTTGCTTTCAGTCACATTTGATTTCTTTTTTCGTATTTTTTATATAACAATCAATCTCAAACGTCAAATAGTAATTTACAAAATTTTCTACAAATTAATTCTCGAAATAAAACCTTCAATATTCGCAAAATCTGACACTATAATCACATCCTTAAAAATATTAATAAATTATATTAAATATTCCACTAAAATTAAAGACATAAAAAAATTATTTAATAGTAGAGGATTTAAATCAGTGGTTTTTTAAAGAAAAAAATATTTAGTGATTTTGCAAGATATTCTTTATGTGTCTTTGCATTTACTTATCAGATAAATATTTGTATAAGCGTATCCTGAACATAGCATATTATATGCACATTATGGCTTTTAACAAAAATTAGCTTCTGTAGGAAGTGCAACCATTTCTAGAAGAGAGCCATAACAAATTTCCTTTTTATAACAATTAATAATAAGTTAATTATTCCTTTGAGCAATTAAAACAACATTAAATCCGTTTTCAAAAAATAAAAGTTCAACGAAAAAAAATAGTTTAAATTTTAACATACACTGTATTATAATATAATTTTTTAGCACACACTGCATTATAATATAATATAATTTTTTATCAGGTTTTAACTTTTCATAAGGAAAAATTAATTTTAATATTTTATTATTTAGTAAAACTTACTTAGATCTTTGATTCTGAAACAAATTTTTAAACTTGGTTTGTTTCGAACATGTTGTGAATAAATAAAGTTTTCTTTACGAAAAATGTCGAAATATATTAATTTTTTTATATTTAGAATTAGCACCCCTGCATTTTGAAATTTAAACACTATAAAATTCGGGTTGAAGAATATTTTAATTTAAAAAAAACAGTTATAAAATATCTCATACAAGCAAGGAAGTTTATTCTTTAAGTTAAATTTTAATTAGAAAACAGACTGTCACAGTTGTACATTTTTAGGCTATTTTGTGTCGAATGTATTGTGTCTAATGTTAGGACATTTTGTGTCCAATGTCAGGCCATTTCGTATCTAATGTGAATGACGTTAAGAACTGAAACGATTACTGGTGTTGCAAACTAAGTCTAATCAGAAAAAATCTGTTTACTAAAGAAAGTGAAATCAATGAGGGATCGCATCCAATAACAGGAAGCGCAACCAAATCTTTCAAAATCAAAAAAAAGCCCTTTTAAGTACTTTTTAAGCACTCAAAAAATATTTTTAAGTACTATACTCAGAATGCAAAATGATTGCCAAGACTTTTACATGATCATGATACAACTGCAACTAATTTCAGACCAAGAACTCATCTTTTGATTATATTAGCCAACACGAAAAGATCAAATAAATTTTTTATGCAATTTCAGAACGTAGAACATGAAACCTGAAATTGAGAACATCTTGCAAAATGCAGCAGAGTTGCACATAAGAGTGCAAAAATCTCATCGAACCCAGCTTAGTCGACGCAAATACCGACTCGCAAATATTTCATCAAACATGTAAAATGGTTGGCGCGATCATACGTTACAGACCGATGTTGTGCTGAAATGGATTGTGCTTGAATAAATTGTAAAAATGTTCTATAGAACAATGTGAAAAACACACTTTTGCATAACACGCAGCGAAAATAGACATGGTAAAGAAAAAAATATATAATTTTCATGAAGGTAAAATTAATCACTTTTAAAAAACACTCCGTGAAAAAAAGTACCTTAAAGGGCTTTTAAAACACGGAAATAAGCACCTTTAAGCACTTTTTAGAAACGATATGAACCATGAATAAGTAAGAATAAAATTTGTAAGTTACATAAATTGAGATCACTTACTCTTTCAAAGAATCTACTTTGTGCTTCTTGAAAATATCTCCAGCACCAGGATTCACATCTCTATCCTTAACACCAGGAGTGTACAGGAACAATCCCTTTCCAGACTTGCGTCCTGCGCATAATCAATAATTTTAATTAGTTTCCATAATATTGAAAGCTTCAAATATGAAATTCAGTTGAACCCTGTTTCAATTGATTCATGCATATTTCGTTTCTGCGAATTATCTTCTTTAAACAGTCTAGTCACAAATGCTATTCTCATATTGTTAATAAAACTCTTTTAGATAGTTTTAAAACTAGCATCGATCTTCCTGTATCTATTGTTCAGAAATTTTATCCATATTATAACTATCTATTTTATTACAATTTGAGAAGAAAAACAATAACCCTGATGCTAGTAGTAAAGATAGCAGAGATTTGTTGCAGTGCGTGGAAACTCTTTATTATAATTCAGTAAGCAAAAATGTTGAATTGTGTGGTCTTGTCAGTTAAAGAAATGGTTGCAGAAGATGAAGAGCAAAGTGATATTAAAGAAGACGGTGAATCAGAATTACAACCACTGACAAAATTTGCAGAAGGCCGTCATTCTTTTTTAAACTATGCGGAGCATTCGGCATTCACATGAACTTACTGAAAATGAATAGCAATCCGTTATAAATGTCGAAAAAATTTACTGTACTGAGAGCTAACGAGTGCGCTCAAACCATAATTTTCAAATAAATAAACAGTCTTTATTCGAATTTTTTTGCATCAAATATTTTTGCATGAAGTATAAAAAATTTTCAATTATCATATTTTAAACTTGTTGGCTTTCCAGCCATTATTTAATATTTTATATGTCATTTTCTGGAATCTATTGCTTTCAATGAATGATTTTATAAGAAATGATCGACCCATGCTTTACTAAACTCTATCTATGAAGAAAAATTACCTAGAAATCCAGCAGCCACCATGCTCTTCATGACATTGAGATCTGATTTGCCATAAAATCTCTCACCAAATATGCCACCCAAATGCTCTCCACTATGAGTAGCAACATCAATGCCCACTTCATCAATTAAAGTTGCACCACCGACTGCAAAACCGAAAGCTTTAGTGAATTTGTCGAGCTCTTTAGGACTAATCCCCTCCTAGATAATAAAAAGAACAGAACATTAATTCCTAAGAAACACAAGACTGTAAAAACGGAGAAAATCTTAGGACTTGAAAAATGAAATATAAAAATATTTAAACATTAAATTCAAATTTTTTGGAAGCTCTAACTGTAACATTGTTCTAACCTAACTTGGCGGCACTGCTAATTGCACACAGATCTAATCACAGCTGTTGTCATAGAAACTGTCACGTTGAGGCATACTTATTTAACAGAGCTAAACTAAAAATAGTCAATGATGTTTTATCTTTACAGGATTTATTTTGAAAATATTTATAAATTAAATATATTCAAATAATTTAATGCAGAAAAATTTCTAATATCTATTTCGTAAACAAAATTTCAGTATTTTATGACATCTATTTATGCTGCTATGTGCATCTAGCGTTTTTAAATTCCGAAATATTATATCCTGGTATTATAGGCATTTAACTGTTTTAAAATCCTATACATCATATTCCCAAAATATCTTATTTTTCATGTGCCCTATTGCACTTCCTGCCTTTCCCAATGCTGCCAAGTTGAAGTTGAATGAAAAATATGCAAATTTCCCATCTGCTTAGACTATATGGTACTCAGACATAACCTATACTACTAATTAAAAGAATAAAATGAAAGAATGAGGACAACCATACTTGGAGCATGTAGATAGATTCAAAAATTATTGGATTTAGAATTCTTGTAGTGTAAAATCCAGGTCGATCCTTGACAACAATCACCAATTTACCCTGCTCTAAACCAACTTGAACAGCTGCTGCAGCAGTATCCTTTGAAGTTTTATCGGTTGTTATAATTTCTAGCAACTGCATTTCGTCTACTGGGGAAAAGTAATGCATTCCAACAACCTACAGAAAGTAAATAAACAATAATTATAATTAAAAATTCATGTTGATGTTAAATTTTTAATTTTTCACAAAGTAACTCCTAACTGGCAATGCTTCAAAAAAAAAGAATTAACTAAATTTTTATTTTACTATGTTATGAGAAGAAAATCTAGGTAAACAGAGAAATTTCTCAAATTAAATACTGATTTTTAATATTTAACACCAACGACATCTGATGAAGTTGTTTAATTTAACATGAAAACTTTTTCTGAATATTATTTTATTATCCAATGCAAAATTTTCGTTTTTTAGAGAATCTCAAAAATTTTATTAAACGATTGTAAATATACGGAATTTTGTCAAAGCATCATTAATTAATGATAAAATAAACCAAATTCAAATTTTTGATAAAAAAAATATGGAGATAAGCACACTTTATACTATTTGCTATGTATACATATAGAAGCCATGAAATATACAGAACTAAAAAAAAAGATTTTATTTAGATGATCTCAATGTCAGACAATTTCTGAAGATCAAACCAGATAAATAATAAATAAGGGGGAGAACAAAACATTAAAAAATCAAAAGATAAGATCCCTGGGCGGAGCTTGTAACCCCTAGAGGGAGCGTCCCCGGGTGGCGGATCGGGGAATGCCTCCTTTGGTTTCCTTTGGGTGGTAGATCTTCTGCCTGGTGGTTGGACATTCTGCTACCTTTCAAAAGCACTCCATCCCTGCCCTAAACTGTGATCGAACCATTTCCACAACCATAGCTAGATTGAGGACTAAACACTTCAAGGGAATGAAGATATCTCCCGATGGCCATTGAAGCTACAAAAATTGTCCTCACTGCAGCGACACCGAACTCTCTCCCGACCATATCTTTGATTACCCAGCCATATTGGCGAAGCTCTTCAGGATACATCTGGATCCCCCGCAGCAACTCCTCTATTCCATAAAAGATTATTGATATGGCCAAAGCTGTTTTAGACACTTTTGGACAAAGATAATTGCTCTACAGGACAAGACAACAACAACAAAAGATAAAAAGAAATAAAAAAATTGAAAATAACTTTTTAAAAAAATCCAATACACTAATATCTAGAATAATGTGTTAGCCATCTTAAGAATACTTCAGGCACTTGCGAAACATTGCAGAAGCGAAAATATTTTAATACAAGAAAAAAACAGAATCACTAGAGAAATGACATCAAAAACGTCTGCAATAAATGTTAGACACCCCTGTAGCAGAAGTTTTTCGGGTTTTCTGAGGCATACCTCTCTAATACTAATATCTTTACACAAGGTTCCTAAAATAAACAAATAATTAATTTAAAGTAAGCGAAGTGTTAGCTTCAAAAACTAAATAAATAAAAATTCGGATCAAATAAAATAATTTTTTAATTGAATATGTAATATTTTTTTATTCTAATATTATGGCGATATTCTCCCATTTTGTAGAAAGATAACACACTAATTATTTCTTTTCTCACATTTTGTAATTCATAGTCACATTAAATGACATTTTAAAAAATCATGAAGCCTGCAGCAGTAACTACCGGGAAAAAAAAGATCGACGGCGAAATCACACGAATCTGGCTCTTCAAAAAAGGGGTTACTAAATGTGTGCATTCATTTTGAGATTCAGTTGCTGCAACAAATAATATCATATTAAAGGTATGGGATTTTAAAAGCTATGTGGAAATAAAGTAGTATTAATAACTGCATGAAAAAAAAAACAGAACGAAAATTTCTACGGAACAGAAAGTTTTTTACTTCAATATTCTTTATTTTTCATTAGCCTCAAATGAGAATAGAAAAATCACAAAGAGTTTTTTTTTTCACTCCGATGCGCAAGAAAGGCATCTTTTGAATATAATTCAAAAGAAAAGATAAAATCTTTCAAAAATTTCTGCCAAAAAGAAAAGCAAAAGTTTTTACTTCCCAATGGAAAAATCTTTCTGCAGGAACTCGGTAACGTTCTGCTACAAAGTCGCCGTATTGCCACGATTCTGCAGTAAATGTTAGACCCTCGTTCCTTCTCAGAAACTTATTATAAACAGCCAAAACTTAATGATTCTCTAAATCTTCTAATGTTTGAATGCTTACTTTTTCTGGATTCTTGCTTGCTTCAGCAATCTTGTGTATGGGCAATGCTGAAGTGTTGGAGGCTATGATACAGTGTTCAGGAACGTACTTCTCCATTTCTTTAATCACTTTGTGCTTGATGTTCAAGTCATCAGAAACAGCTTCAATAACCATGTCCACATTGCTAAACTTGTCGTAGTTCAAAACTCCATTTAACTTAGACACGTACCTATCTCTTTCTTGTCTGGGAGAAAATAAAAATATTGAAGCAAACTGGGTGATCAGCTTTTACAAAAAAGTGAAAATAAGAAACTTTGGCATCTAAATAAATATTCTAGTCGCTATAAAATGATAGTTTGTAAATAAGGTACAAAACATCCTTTTCAGAACTGTCTAATAATGTTCAATTCATGAGAAATTGAAATTTACATGGAACAGTAACAAGGACTTTTGCCATTAGTGAATACCTATAGTACTACCATATTTTATAAGCAGGTATGAAAATACAAAAAACAGGAAAAAACACAAGATATAAAATAAATTAAATAAATAAATGTGGTAAAACAATCAGAAGACTATTTTGGCGCAACAAATTAACAATATTTTTGTTCAAATGCATTTAAAAGTATCAAATTTAATAGAATGATTTGTTATTGAACCATATTTTTTTTTAAATATTAACAAGAAGACTTATATTTATATTAAAAAAACTTAATAGAAATAATTACTGCATAAAGATGATTATTATGTAAAAATAAAATTATGAATATTAATTTAAAAGCAAAACCAACTACAGAAATTTGTTTAGTTGACAAAACCTATTGTAGAAAAATTTAGGTAGTGTGCTTAGTTTTCAGCAACCTTGACAAAATATAACAAAAATAATTAAGAAACTTTAAAAAAAAAATGTTTTAAAACAAAGTTAAAAAAGTGAATGTTAACATTGTAAATCCAATGAAGAATCTCATGCTTGTATAAGATCCTAATTTGTCTTTAATTTATCCAAACCTTTGCTTCTTTTATGACTCTGACCAACATGAATAAAACTAGTTAATTTAAAAGAAATTAGGTATGTAGGTATTTTATTTATTCTGCACTAGAGCCGCACAATGGGCTGTAGGCGACGAACAGGGAAACAACCACGAGGATGATCCGATTGTCCGAAGCCACGCCAACTCAATTTTGATCCTTAGCAGAGGGAGCGGCTCCCTTGCTTTGGTAGCCCGACGACCTGCGCGCACAGTCGAGCACTCTATGGTAGAACTGTTTAACGAGGACCGATATTGCGCACCCTTGGAATTTCGGTGTCTTTACGATCAGACTGGTGTGGGAGCAAAAAAATTTAACAGTTTCTGTACAATTTACATCAAAAATGTGACATTTAAGAAATTTTTCATGAAAAATCACGATTTTATGAAAAATACATGTAACGATATCCTCTAAATTTTACATAATTCCCATCCACAATATAGTTTAATCAGCAATATTATTATCAGATATAAAAAGTCTTGTACGTTTTTAAGTATTCATTTGAAACACTGTAATGAAATGTATTTTTCAGAGCTAAAAGAACTTACGCAGTACATTACTTACGAAGATATTCTTTTACTTTTGACAGCACCGTCCAATCCATCGTAAATCTGATTTTGACCACGGGCAAGACTGTCTGGGTTATCATCTTTCAGAAGGACATCGAAAGATTTATCAACAGTCACTTGGGCAATACCAGCACCCATGAGTCCAGCTCCAAGCACTGCAACTGTCCTAATAGGATATAATTCAAGAGTTCATAATACATAAACATTAAATAATAAAATACCATTCGCTATTGAGCTAAATGATTACTTTGTCTTTGTTTCAGGTTCTCCAAAGCGATTCTTTTTGCATAAAGTTTGTCCGCTGTACAAACCTATAAGGGCTCTAGAATGGGTTGTCATAGTCAAAGTTCCAAATCCTTCACACTCAGCAGCAAAACCAGCAGAGGAGCCTTTTTCAATTCCTGTTCTAACAACCTGTCAAAAACATTTTACTGAAACTAAATCTAAATTTGAAATGCCAACATTAAAATCATTTCATGAATTACAGATTTCAGGATATGAGCAGTTATTTTTGAAAATGGATAATGTTCAGTTGGTGGATAATGTCCATTCATTTGATGATCTTTTATCTAATTGAATTACCTTTACTAATATTTTTAAATTCATTCAAACACTAATATTTAAAAGCCGTAGACACATACAGGATATCTGCTACATTTTAGATTTTCAAATCCATGACTTTTCATGACTAATTCCGAGAATTTTTCATGACTTAACGAGGTTACTATTTTTCCGACAAAAACACAACAATAAATTTTTAAAAAAGCATTATAATAATATTAATTGAAATGATAGGCATAACCAAAACTGTTTTACTCTGTATCTTCATATTCATAGATTTTGAATTTAAAAAACAGAGTAAAGAAAGAGTTGAAGCAATAAAATAGCTGAAAAAAATAGTAAAGCAAATATCTTTTTTTCTGCAGAAGTATATTCTAAAGATACTTTCTTGTTCATCAGAAAGAGAAGAAATACTCCTGACTTCTGTTCTCCTTTCAGAATAAAAAAGAAAATTACCAATGACTGGCTGACTGGCTTGCATCAACTCGAATTTAAATTTATAAAATGAAAAAAATACATAATAATAAAAATTCTGAAATCGCAGAAGTTTTAAAGATAATTCGCTCTAGAAATGCTCTTTTTTTCATCATTTTTTTTTAGAGAACATAATTTTTAAAGAATATGATAAAAACATTTTACATTTTTATAAAATATGACTGTGAGTGGGGATTTTTTTACAAATTCAGATATTTGGAACACCCTGAAATTTCAGGGGGGTAAATTCCATTTTAAAAATTAGATTTTTCGGCTACCTAAATCCATGATTTTTTTTTCCAAAAATAGTTGAGATCATGAAATTTCATGACAAATTTTGTTCAATAGCGAAATTCATGACTTTGCAGGTGCGAGGATACCCTGCACATTCCACTTTCAAAATAAACTTTCAAAAGTAACATCACTTACTGAGAAAATGAATTCTAATTTTTAAAAAACTCAGAGCCTTATTAACAAAATAAATATTTGACGCAATGATCTAAGACACAAGTGGTGGTAAAATAATGCCAGATGTTAGATAGGGATTAAACCAAGGACCTCCATATCTATAAACTAAATTCAGTGCCTCGACAGCCCACAGAGGACCAAGACCTACTGTGCCCATCTCAGTTTTCTTGACCTTGGGCTCTGAGGTGCAGGAGCATATGTTCCGGTTAGGTGGTCAGCGGAACGCGAAGCCCCCAGTTTTTAGTTCCCAAACATACTTGGTACTCATTTATCGACCCACTGAAGGGATGAAAGGCTGAGTCAACCTTGCCCGGCCCGAGGATTGAACCCAGGACCAGTGGCACTCCATATCTATAGTCAAATACATTTTTCCGTGACTACAGAAAAATGTATACAACAATACCAGGGTCAGTAATAAAATTTACACTGTAGCTTTTTACACATTATTAGCAATGAAGTAGTTTCTTTTTCATGTAAATTGCAATAAAAATTCTTAAAAAAAATTACATTTTACCCAGATATAACCATAATTTATATAAGAAGTTAAATAAAATTGCATAGAAATTACATACAATCCATAGTATCTTAAAACATTCAGTAAACTTACTTCTAAAATTCTTAATGGAGCTGGATATAATCCATTGGTTTTTTCCATGACTTGTTGCTTAGCTTTTGAAAATATTTTGTCCCGAATATATTGAAAACTAAAGACGTAGTTCATTATTCCTAAAAAGAAAACAACATATAAAATTATTAATCTCTTCCTTAAATAAACAAACTCAATAATAAATGAAGAAAATGAAACTTATGTTACATAAAATTAGGAGGTAACTTTTGTTTAAAAAGCAGAAACACACATAAAAAATAAAACTTGGTTTTTTCAAACTTACAAAATAAAAATTAAGCAGTAGCGATGGCTGAAAAACACAAATTTTAAATATAATCACCTTGAAATAGCATTAAAGTATAAAATTAACAAATGAAAACAAATGTAATTTGCATTATATATTCGAGTTATTCTGAATGAAATTATGAATATATTTACTGTGTTGAAAATACTATTCCTTAAATGAACTAAATAAATTCTGAAACAAATTTTCTTTAACGATTTTTTTCTGTATAAAATTATTAATTTTTAAAATAATACAATACATTTACAATAATAAATAAAAAAAATTTTGTATTTTATTATTCTTTGTATCATTTTAGTTTATTAAACAAAAATTAAAGTTTTTGAATTGTTCTTTGAAAGTATAAATTAGTCCCTAAGCAATATTTAATAAAAGTATTTTTTAATTATTGAATTATTTCTAATTTAACTTTTAAATTTTTTGCCTTAACTTTAAAAANACTTTAAAAAAAAAAAAAAAGTTCTGCAAGGATAACCTTATTTTGTTTCAGCACTGAAAAAAAACTTACTTTCCATTAAAGGTCTGGTGCGATCAATTTTTAATTTTTTACTAGCCAAGTCTTGTGCAACATTAACAGCAACTTCTTCCAGATATTCAGCAGTTCTTTCTTCAGGTGAATCTGAACCAAGACCAAAAGAAACCAAGAAAACAATTTTATGATTTTGTAGTCTTTTAAAATTAATTAAAATTTAAAAAACTGTCACAAAAAGTAGTCACGTGTGTGCAATTGTTGAAGCTAAGAAATAGATTGAAATAAGAGACATTTATAGAAAACCTTTATTAATAACTCCATTTTATAGTTTGAAGATAAGTATGAAAATGAAGTTCATAGCAAAGACAGAAAATTGTACTTTTCAACTCTGAACTATATACCATATTCTTCTTTTTGACCTATATATCATACCTTCCAGAGCCGGATTATACCTTTCGTAGGCCCTAGGCACAGAGCCGGATTATACCTTTCGTGGGCCCTAGGCATACCCGTTTTTGGGTCCTCCCCTCCTTCCCCCCATCCCCTCTTTTCAAAATATATGCTAAAATTTTCTTGCATATTTTTTTTAACATTTTTATTAATATGGATTTTAATTTACAAATTTGTTAATCGAACTTTATCTGCAATACCGACATACTGCCGATATTGCAGTCGATATCGATAATACCATTATGATTAGTTCGATCGATAACTATGTTAAAGATAAACTAGTGAATACTTTTCCTAACGTTCATATTGCATTAAGAATATATTTGTCGATTCTTGGATCAAATGCAGAAGGAGAAAGATCTTTCTCCAGGATAAAATTGATAAAAATTATTTGCGTTCAACAATGAATCAAGATCGTTTGGCATCGCTCGCACTTATGTCTATTGAATACGACATTTTGCGTAGTTTGGAATTCGACAGCATAATACAAGATTTCGTTGAATCCAAAAATCGCAAAAAAAGTAATATATTAGATCATAAGATTCTGCAAAATAATTTATTACCGAAAAATATTATATTTTTATTTGTATCTTCATAATTCTGTGCAAAATACACTTGTTGTTTTTAAAGCTAATTTATTTTTGTCAACAAATTTTTTTCTCCCAAGTTTTTCGTAGGCCCCTGAATTTCGTAGGCCCTAGGCACGTGCCTAGTGTGCCTATAGGTTAATCCGGCCTTGATACCTTCTTATGATATTATTTTGTGGAAATATGTAGATTACAGAGAGGAAGACAATTTTTCTGTGGATTTTATTATCAACTTAGAATAATATAATTAAGGAAATAACTGTTGTTGTTACTTATTCCACTTGGCCCAGAACAAGGGTAGACCAAGTCCAGAAGACCGAATCGACCGACCGACAGAAAATCAGATACCATTACCGGACCCTCCAAGATAAAATTCTTCTCTAGCCCCATGCAGGACACTAAAAAGTGTAATTACAATAAAAAAAACTACATATCGTTATTACAACTCACCATTTTATACTTACAATCACGTTCATATAATTAATTTTTTATCCAAACTTTCTTTGAAATATCACATAAACATATATTTTGTGACATTGGATCACTCACTATTTTTAGATCTCAAAATTTACATAGTCCCTTGATTTAATTTGGAATTTTTTACGCCTTCCCTTATGGAAGTCGACTGGAATGTTGCTGCCCTCATTTCATAAAATAGCAGGTGCGTCGGTGCTTGAGATCTACCCACGTTTCTTAACCGTAACTATCTAAAATATTAAATACTTTAACTTTTACTTTTTGCTGCTTATTTAACTGTAACTATTAATTTTTTCCAACTGTAACTTGCTTATAGCATTTTGCTATTTAAGGGGCTGCCTGCGCTTTTTGCGGAGCATTCGATTTTTGTATTTTTCTGATCGTCAAGTGTCCGTTAAACGGAGCCCTTGCCTTTTCCACCTTCCCCAAGGAAGAATAAGGAGGATTCTCCCCTAAGGAAGGATAAGGAAGATTCCCCCTAAGGAAGGATTAAGGATGATTCTCCCCTAGGAAGGATGGTGGAATTAAAACTCATCGGTCGTCTCATCAAATATTTTTAATAGTACAGCATTGCACATCTTTTTTGAACATAGAGTCTACAAAATGGTCTGTTTTTTTTTTATGTTAATAGTATGGAATCTTCCATCTACTAGTTGATTTATTGAGCAAGGTGTCAAAAATGGTTTTCTGACGAGATCGCCAAAAGAAAATGAATTTACGTGCCAAATCACCACTGAAGTACTTACTTCACCAGTGTGCTTTTCCTGTTTTGTGCCTAACTGATGCCTATAAGGACTAAATAAAGATTTTGTTGTCGATCTTCTGAAATGACTGGTGGTTAATGATGCATGCGAGTCTTTCTTTTCAACAAAGGATGATTTAGAATCCGGGATGTTGTGGAACAACACTGGCAGGTATTCCACTTAAACGTTTTCATAGCCTAAGTTTCCTTCTTTAAATTTTATCAACCAGCGCTGTGCGACAATTTTTACCTTACATACAAATTTAGTATAATACCAACATCTCAATGTTCTTCAAAAACTAAGGCTGGTTAAATAGCTTTTACATAATAAATTTCCTTAAATATGTTTTACAACTTTAAATTATAATTATCCAAAAGCCTAATTTATCAATTAAACTGCAATGCTATTATGACTCTTTATTCGATGCCTTTCTCTTAAGTATTCTATATTTTAATATTCTATTTACAGAAGTATAAATTAAAGCGCAATATGAAAAAAAAAAATTTTTTTCGCCTTTTAGCTTCACTTAAAATTATTTTTATGTTGATTCTAAAGATTACAAATATTTTAACTAATCAGGAGTTTTTGAGAAATATTCAAAGTCTTTCAGTCAAAGTACTCTCTAGTATACATTAGAAAGGGAAAAGGAGAGCAAGGGAAAATAGAAATCAACTTAGTTTAAAGCTTTCGGAGTTTAGAAGTTTAAATGGTTGAAATTGAATTTTTTATCTCATAAAATTACCTAACTGCAACAAAAAAGCAATATTGAGCATCACACTAGTATAATATTGAAAATAAGTAAACAAGAAATAAGAAAAGTGCAATAATTTTCCTTTTCTTAACCTAAAAAAATTTATTAAAGAAGCAATTAATATAGCTGCCAAAATGAGAAGGAAAAATACTTATTTAAAATTGTGACATAATTTTAATAAAAGGATTTTGGAGAGACAAAGACAGTTTCAAACAAACGGATTTTGGATAGGACGGTTAAAACCCTGGTTTAAATTGTGGATTAATCCATTCTGCCCTAAACCTTACCAACTCTGCCAGCAATACATACCATTAATAAATGATATTCGGCAGACTTGAATATAAGATACTTTTGTTATTTTTATCATAATTTACAATCCACCATTTTTAAATCTAATATTAATTTTATTTCATACGGTTATAATATATATAAATTTAAAAATAGAGAGTCCCTAATAAACTGTATTCTTCAATTTGATTACTCTACGCGTGTCTTACTTCATTATTTAATAATATTTTAAATTTAAATATTTAAATAAACAGTGTGAAAAGAAATCTACTTTGATAGGATATTTTTTGTTTCAGAAGCATTTTTAATTTTAAGGACTTTTATAAAATAGACAAATTTAAATTAATAATTTTTCTTGGGTACATACCTAAAGGATCGACAAGCAGATCAACTAAACCAAGTTCTTTAGCTTCGTCAGCTGGAACAGTTTTGCCTGTTAACATCATGTCTAATGCATTAGGTAAAGATATCTACAATAAAAATTTTGATAAACACTATTAGGAACTTAAAGAACTGATGAATATTTTTAATTCATTTTAGTTATTATAAAAATATTTTGTACAGTCATTAAGCTAACCACACTTAAAATTCATAACACATAATCGACTTAGAATAAAATAATTTTCAGGTAGGATTTTTTCTTTTAAAATTTATGGATCATAATATAGAATTGATTTTAGAATGAAAAAAACAACAATATTCAAGTAGGATTTTTTTTTCTAGAAATTTTCCAGATGATTTAATGGCATCAGATATCAATATGTATATACAAGGCGCGTTAATTAAATAACCAGCCTGAGCACGTCCAAGCTTCTAGACTCGGTGTGGAGAAGTGGGAATGAAACCTAGGCGAATTATTTCGTTCCTCTATCTAGCTTAGTTCCTCTATCTAGCTTTGTTGTCTAGCTTTAGCATGGTTTAGCTCTATCTAGTTATAGCTTTTCACTAGTTCTAGCTAGTGAAGCGTTATGTTGAAATGCCACGATCTTGATAAGCTAAAAAATCAAGCAGCGTATCAATGTTAAATTTTTTGTGATACAAGGAAAAAAATTTGACCTAATGTTTTAAATTGTTAAAGGAGGTGCTTGAAGATAATTGCATTTCACTTAATCAAATTTTTTAACTGGACAAACAGTTTTCGGAAGATCGGGAGATTGTTGAAGATTACGAATCTTCTGGTCGGCATGTGACATCAAGAACAGATGAAAACATTAAAAACAATAATGAAATCATACGTGAAGACTGAAGTTTGAGTGTTTGGATGATATCATTATTACAAACATTTATAAAGAGACAATAAGAAAAATTTTGACGGAGGATTTGCAGATGATGATAGCTTGCTCAAAACTGGTACCAAAAAGTTGACATGAGAGCAAAAATTTACCAGGAAAAGCATTTGCTCTACCATCTTGGAAAAAGTCCTTATCATTGCATATTAAGAAACTTGAATTTGTCAGTACAATCCTGAAACTAAACAACGATCCCTGCACTAGAAGCTGAAATGAACAAGTAAAAACTGAAGATTATGCCAATCGTTTTTTTTTCGGTATTAAAGATATCATCATGCTTGATATGGTACCTCAAGGCCAAACAGTAAACCACTTTGAGGTCCTGAGAAAGAGGAAGAAGAAGAGTCAAGATCTGAGGAGCGAAAATACGCGGATTTTGACCAAGACAGCCTTCTGTAGCATAATTCACTCTCAGTGAAACAGTTCTTGGCTGACAAATTCATTATCGTTCTTGAGCATCCACCATACTCACCAGATCTCACATCATCCAAGCTTGTGACTGATTTTTAAAGTGAAAAGCATTACAAGAATATTTTCATGTAGAAAGTGACAAAAGCAGACTTAATGAAGAAGGTGACGCATAATGACCTGTGCAATTGCTTTGAACAGTGGAAAATTCCTATGCAGTGGTGTATGTTGTTAGGAAAAAGGAGTAGACTGAAGGGGACCAAAAGATACTAGCAGAAGGTTTTTAATAAAGATATTTTTTTTAATATTAGTCTGGTTTTTTAATTGTCACGCCTCTTGAATGTGTGTGTGTTAAATTAAGAGTCTTCTAAGAAATCAAGAATTTCAATAAAATAGCTATTGATAACCAAATTAACATGGGCATTTCCTTAGTAAAATAATTTAATGAAAAACTACAGGCGAAAGTTTTTCTTTTTCTTAAGAATATAGAAACAAGAAAAAAATAAATAGTTATTTTTTTAACACAAACATACAAATATTGCATGTCTAATGAGTAAGGCATAGATTTTGAAAAGTGATTCATTCAAAGAAAATATTCTAATTATCATATAATTTTTTTTAGGAAAGCCAACTTTTAAAAGAATAATAAGGAGCTTAGGAAGACTAGCATATTTTTACGATTACAATGTATCGTAAAAATAATAAACTTCTATTTCAAATAAAAAATAATGATGCTTCAGTCAAAAAAGGATTTAATTTTTATGATCAATACTATTTTTAAAACAGTATCAAATTTCAAAATCTTCACAAATTTCAGAACAGATTCAAGATTATTTCTGCCCTTAATAATGAAAAATAGCAACAATGTCAATAATTTGGGTACAATGTGAAAAGAAAGTGATGAATGCGCATTTGCTATTTTTACATTAAAATAAAGGAAAACAACTCTCGTTATAGTTTTTAAAACATTAACAAAATAATAATTTAATTTTTCTAGCTAACACACTCACTAATTTAGGCAGTCTCTGTGTACCACCAGCACCAGGAAGAAGTCCTAGTAGAACCTCAGGAAAACTTAAACCAGTTTCCTTGCTATTAACAGCTATTCTGTAATGAGTAGCTAAAGCAACCTGTAAGAATATACAAAAATAACACAAAAATCGTATAATTTGTTGATTTCTCTTTATGCGAGAATTAAAACATCATACATCTAGAGTACATGCTGTGACTAGAAGAACAACAAAGTAAAATAAATCTTCAAAATTATATAATAGTAAATATTTACCTATTTTATCTAAATAATATACCCTAGCAATAATTTTACAATGGCCCTAATTGGGTTCAATATAGGTCCCGGGTCAATTTAGAATAAATTTGGGTCCTTTGACTGATCCTTTACAAAATATCTTTCCATCAAAACGGACCCTTCATAAAATAATTTATCCTTTAATCGAACCCTTCACAAATTTGGTGATCTCCAATATTGTTTTGTTAATCGAATAAACCCTTCCCGTAAAATCAAAGAAAAACGGTTCAAAACGAAAAAAGTTTCCCTAAGTTTAAATTTCAGATGTAGTATTCTAAGAAAATAATTCTACTGTTACAAACATCGTGTGCACATTCTTATTAAATGATATTTTTTTTTTGTAAATAAATAATTGATCAATTTATATTTATCCATAAAATTAATTAACAGAACATTATGTAATTAAAAATTAATTTCAGGCAATTTTTTAAATAAAATATTGTAAATTTAAGAATTGCTTAAGCTTACTTAATGCGTAACACATTAAAAATGATACATAACTAAGTTGTGTTATTCAAAATGTGTCAATTAAAATATTAAAAATGTGAGTGATTTTGCTTCCAATATTCGTCCGAAATTAATATTCTGCTGTGAGCAGTATAGGCTAAATACGAAATATTTGTATGTTGCATCTCTAATTTAGTAGCAGCAATTGTTGAGCATAATCTTGTATCTATTTACAATTTAAAAACTTCTTTAAAAGGTTTTTAGCATTTTCTCCAGTAACAGGACCCTATTTGCACCCTAGTTGAAAGAATGCGATTTAACGCTTATTTTATGATCACAAAATTATGAGTAGTTTTTTCACAATTTTACAAGAATAGGACCTTTCACAAAATCTCTGGACAGATCCCTACATACCTGCCAATATTGGGGAAATAAAATATTTTATTTTATTTTATGTAAAGTATTATATAAAGTATTTTATTTCATAACCGTCAATAAGCAGTCAACCCAATTTTTTGGGTTTATGACTACTAATGTTCAAATCCGTAGCCTTGAAATTTTGAACCATATCCAGAAGACAAAGGAACTCCTGGATCAAGTATTGGAAGAAATTTGTCTTCGTGCAGGATTTTTGTTGGAACTAACCCGCATTTGCGTTTTATGGTGGAGAAAACCGCGAAAAAACTTCCACAGTTAGTCTTATGGCAAGGGGACTCTAACCCATGGTCAGTCGTTTGCCACTGAGGATATTTTTACTTAAACAATTAACACTCACATGCTGCAGTACTGGCAATAGTACTATCTGGTAAGAAATAATAGAATTATTTTTGCCACAAGCAGATATTTTATTGACAATTTTTTTCTCCTTTTTTTTAATATCTTCAACAAATAAGGAGAAATTTGAGAATATACAAGTAAACAGGAGATAGTCGAAAAATACAAGAGTTAAAAAACAGGAGACTTGGCATGTTTGAGATCCTATATAAACGTGCACCGAGGGACCAATATTAAGATGTCTAGATTTCTTAATATTGGTCCTTTATGGGGCCAATATCGACCTACATACAGCCAATATAGGGCTGATAGTGGCTAGCTTTTTTTTTTGTTACTTGATTAGTGTTTCTAATTTTCTAATCTTTATTAATTTCCTTCTTCTCATTTCATTAATCTGTAATTCTTTCCATGTTTTCTCTATATTTTAAACTTATTTTATAAATTATATATACTTGCAGCTTATGAGCAGTAAATAAAACTTACGATTGAAATTCTTCCTCGTTTTCAATCATAATTGATTCTAATGATACTTTTTCAAAAAAAGGAGAGAAAAAATATTTAAAATTAAGAGCATATTTTGGAGTTTAACAAGTGCATAGTTCAGATTGTTTTATTTAAACTTTTTAGAAAGATTTAATTTAAAATTTGCTGAAAATTTTTAAAAAAAAAAATAATTAATTACAAAAAAGGAGATATTCTTGCTACTTTTACTAAACTTTTAATATTTAATATAACAATTAATTACATTAATAATACTGCATCCTAACATTAAAAAGACATATATATATATATATATATGTTTATAAATCATCTAGGGAGCATATTTTTATAACTANATATATATATAAACAGCATTACATGAAAATTGCAATTTACAAATGCTTGAATGAATCTATTATTTTAATTCACGAAACATTTTAGAGAAAAATAGCAATCATACATCACGGAATAAATAAAACACTTTGAATTAATCAAAATTTTATGATTAATATTTTTACTTACAATTTAAAATACTTCTCAATATTTTGATTTGAAACAATAATTGTTATACAATCACTTAATTTATAACTCAACCAATATCACATCATCGTATCAATTTTAAAATCAAGGCTTAAACAAATATTTCTTATCTAATCTCTATAAATAAAAGGAGTTTAAAATAAATAGTGCTGAAAAACAATAAAAATATTTCTTAAAAAAATTAGTAAAATGATTTTTCACAATCTTAAATTAAGTTAAAGTTTTATTAGCCTTGTTTAGTTAGCTAATTATAAATATTTATAATCTAATTTTCTGCTTGAAAAAAATATACAGATAACTGCATCAATATCATTAGCAGAAATGCAAATCTTAATGCATCATTTATTTATTTTTTAAAATCTAGCAGAGTTTTCAGTTAAGTTAATTAATTTGTAACACAGAGCAAGTCAATGAGTTATAGATTAAAAACACATACTAAAAATTGATATAAATTCTAATGCAAAGCCTTGAGAGAATTAAAATAAATGGTATAATATTTTAAGATTGATTTGGAGGGGTATAAAAGGAGTAACAGAACGAAACAGAAAACATGGTGAATAATACAAGCCTTCTTTGCACATATTATTACTGCAGAGTTTTTCTTTTAAAACTAAACTTAACTCAGTGGCACGACAGTTCATGGAGAGCCAAGGCCTGTTGAACTCATTCCAGTTTTCCTGACCATTTGCTCTGGAGTGCCGAATATTTTTCAGTTGGGATCAGACGAATACATAACCCCCAGTCTTTAGTCCCCAAGCATGTGTTGCTTACTTACATTATTTAAAATTTTAAAAAGAAAATTCAAGAAAAAAGTCCGCTGTCTTTCTACATACTTCCAGACCCCCACCAAGACAAGTACCAGATATGGCTGCAACAAACGGTTTCGAGCTGTTTTCCATTTCATCTAAAAGATCTTGACCAGCTTTGGATAGTCGCATAACTTCCTCTTTACTTTTACAGGATGATATCATTCTGACGAAAAAAGAAAACACATCTAAATACCAAGACAAAAATGAACCAGTTCTATGATATATAAAAAACATAGCGTTTTTTTATTCCTATTCTGACAAATTCTGATATATTGTATATTAATAACGATAGCTCAAGAAACAAAACTGATCTTTGCCTTTTTTAGATTGTTTCAATGCAACTTAAACTGATCAGTTTTCATCAATGTAAAGGTTCTTAGACAATTTCAATATATAATTTCAATAATCTTTATATTAATTCAATAATCTTTATTAATTCAATAATCTTTATTAATTCAATAATAATTCATATTATTATATATTAATTCAATATTCTTTATTTTCGCAATTCAATATTCACAGTTTCAATATTCTTTATATAAAAGACACTAATTGAAAAAATGTATAATTCACTTGCATAGCACAAACAGAAAATAAAAGAGAGGAAACTTATGCAATTTCCAATAAATTTCTATCGATTTCAATATACGTTGATTTTATAGTCATATTAATGTGAATCTTTTTTTTAAAATCGATCTCAGAAGATGAAATGCATTATATTGTCTGAAAATCATTTAGAGTGATTCTTTATCTTCATGGACTGAATATTACTGTATTGCGTAATGAAATCAATTTAAAGGTAAGCTTTAATAAATGTTCATTAAATTTTGTTATCTACATTATTTTGCTCATATTTGAATGTTATTTTGCTACCAATAATAGGTCTTATCATTGGTTAAAGATTTGAGGGAAAAGAGATTTATGCAGAAGTAAATTCCAGCGTATATTAATTATCTTTATCCAATCATGACATAACCTCTTTTGCACATTTTCTTCCATGTAGCAATTGGGCAAATGAACTGTTTTTTCTTATATATAACCCCCGCGGCAGAATTCTTTCGGGCTCTCTGCAACACAACTCTCTAGCTCTAATATCTTTCTGCAAGGTCCTTTCAATAATGATAATTATGTATGTTACTAATTTAAAGTAATAAATACGCTCTGTTTACCAAAAAAAATTCATTATTTTCATTAAATATGTAATGTCTTTTTATTCTAATATTATGGGCGATATTCTCACTTTTTGTTGGGGAGAAGCACGTACTAATTATTTCCTCTATCGCATTTTGAAAATAATAAAATAATTTAAAATCACGAAATCCACACATAGCAGTAAATACCTCAAGACAGATCGACGTCGAAATCACGCGAATTGGACTCTTCAAAAAGAGGTTACTCAAATGCGTGATTCGTTTCAAGATTTGATTGTTGTAATGAATAATATCGGTTTTTATAAACTACATGGAAATCAAGAGCAATAATTGCCAGAAAAAAAATTATAGAATCGTTGCCTTAAAAAGTAAGTACTTGAATCCGCGATTCGAATAATATTGTCGAGAATTCCACATAGTATATAACTAACTTACCCCCATATAATTTTTCTGCTATGATGTCTGTAGTAATTTTGAAATCTTCATTATTCTCTCAATTGTAAAAAAAAATATATATATTGGCAATAAAATATTTTAGCCCCCCACCCCTCCCAAGACAGACATCTTAAAAATGTATTTCTATTAAGTAAAACGAAAACAATTTCTTTGAATAAGAACACTTTTATAGAAATAAAATTTTAAGTCAATTTATTTATGTCTAATACAGAGAAAATTCAAGATCATAAAAGTATTAATCAAATGTATTTACCCAATATTTGCACCAGCAATAAAATTTCCAGGCTTTCCGGATATTATAACTGCGCTAGTTATACTGGCATCTGATGATATGTTTTTTAATAGTTGTCGAAATTCTTCCATAACAGCTTCAGTAAGGGTATTTACCTTAAGAACAAATTATAGTGGAAAAAGTAAAGGTAAATAAACATTTACTAATATATTTGAAGAAATCATTTCCTTATATTTAAAAGAATAGCTAATTACACAAATAGTTACAAGAAGAATATTGAAGTACAAATTAATTGTAATCATGTATCTATCAGTAAAGACAAAAATTTATTGATGGTAGGATTTAAAAAGGTTGAGACTAATTATAGTTGGAAAGTAAAGATAAATAAACATCTACATTTCAGCCACCGATAGTGATTTTCGTTTTAGGCGATGCATCAGAAATCTGATTTAAGCTGCCGATAGTGACTTTCGTTTTAAGCGATGCATCTGAAATCTGATTTAAGCTACCGATAGTGACTTTCGTTTTAGGCGATGCATCAGAAATCTGATTTAAGCTGCCGATAGTGACTTTCGTTTTAGGCCATGCATCAGAAATCTGATTTAAGCTGCCGATAGCGATTTTCGTTTTAGGCGATGCGTCAGAAATCTGATTTAAGCTGCCGAAATGAGACAATGCTCGCGCTTTAACATGGGAGGATCCTTGCCTATGCTAACGCTGTCACCGCGCTGACGAAGACAATTTTAATTTCGTCTAATTACGGAGATGTTGATAGCATCTAGCTACGAAGACGATGTTAGTTTCGTGATGTTGAATGACGAAGAGCGAATTGAATCAGAACTCCCGGTTTCGTGCCAGGATCAGCGTTGAAATAGAATGCTATGCATAGTTAATGCACCATTTTTCTCTTTGTGATTTTACTTTTCTGGAAGATTATTTTCAGCTGGACTGACGTTATTTCGTCATAGCTGTGCACTTTATTTCGTCGGGATTTAACGTTTCCTGTAAATTATTTTCAATGAGACATATGCTACTTAGCGATTGTTTTGATGTGCATTATTTCGTCACTTTCTTTTCTTTTGTCTGTCGGGATTTAACGATTCTTGTCAATTATTTTTAGTAGACCAATTGTTACTTTGCGATTGTCGCGCAATCGTTGTTATCTTAAATATTCGTTCTCAACTCAATCTATTAATGAAAAGAAAATATGAATAAAAAAAAGATTCTTCATTGTTTTTTTAATTTTTATTATTGTTTTTCATTTTAAGTGACACAACTTAATAGGGGTAATTGTATTTAACTTTGTTACAAAAAGTAAGTTTTTTTTTGTAAGTTTATTATAATGCATGAAAGTATAGTAATTTTATAGAATTTGATTATTTTTAAACCAATAAATCTTCAGTCGTTTTTAAGTATAAAAAAATTTGGTTATTAGTTAAAACAAATATTTTTTTACGAAATTGAATAGAAAGTTAAGCAATGCTTTGACGTATTTTAACAATATTACAATAGTACTTTAAAGTATCTTTTTTTTTATACTTCTCTTAAAATTCTTTCAATACTTGTTCGTTTCATAATTTGTTGGACAGGCAGTATCAATCTTAAACAAATAAATCCATAGTTGATTTCATTTTCAAAAAGAAAATAATAAATAAATAAAAATCTTACACTTATTTTTACATTCATTAAGTATAGGATTTGACCATTAGTTAATACTACTTTATTATTTTAAATAAATAAATAAAAGGTTTAACGATGCCTTAATAAAGCTTGAAAATTAAAATAAAGCTTGGTTTTGTTTTTACTTAAGACATTTTCTTTTCTAATAAAATTATTCCTTNGTTACAAGAAGAATACTGAAGTACAAATAAATTCTAATCATGTATCTATCAGTAAAGACAAAAATTTATTAATTTATTTATTAATTATTTAAAAAGGTTGAGACTAATTATAGTTGAAAAAGTAAAGATAAATAAACATTTACATTTCAGCCACCGATAGTGATTTTCGTTTTAGGCGATGCATCAGAAATCTGATTTCTGCCGATAGTGACTTTCGTTTTAGGCGATGCATCAGAAATCTGATTTAAGCTGCCGATAGTGACTTTCGTTTTAGGCGATGCATCAGGAATCTGATTTAAGCGGTCGACATAAGACAATGCTCGCGCTTTAACATGGGAGGATCCTTGCCTATGGTAACGCTGTCACCGCGCTGACAATGACAATTTTGATTTCGTCTAATTACGGAGATGATAGCACCTAGCTACGAAGACGATGACTTCGTGATGTTGAATGACGAAGAGCGAATTGAATCAGAAATCCCGGTTTCGTGCCAGGATCAGCGTTGAAATAGAATGCTATGCATAGTTTATGCACAATTTTTCTCTTTGGGATTTTACTTTTTTTGAAGATTATTTTCAGCTGGACTGACGTTATTTTGTGATCGCTGTGCACTTTATTTCATCGGGATTTAACGTTTCTTGTAAATTATTTTCGGTGAGACGTATGCAACTTAGCGATCGTTTTGTTGTACATTATTTCGTCACTTTCTTTTCTTTTGTCTGTCGGGAGGGATTTAACGATTCTTGTCAATTATTTTTAGTAGACCAACTGTTACTTTGCGATTGTCGCGCAATCGCTGTTATCTTAAATATTCGTTCTCAACTCAATCTATTAATGAAAAGAAAATATGAATTAAAAAAAAGATTCTTCATTGTTTTTTTATTATTATTGTTTTTCATTTCAAGCGATACAATTTAATAGGGGTATTTTGTATTTAACTTTGTTACAAAAAGCTAGTTTTTTTTGTAAGTTTATTATAATGCATGTAAGTATAGTAATTTGATAGAATTTGATTATTTTTAAACCAATAAATCTTCAGTCGTTTTTAAGTATAAAAGAATTTGGCTATTAGTTAAAACAAATATTTTTTTACGAAATTGAATAGAAAGTTAAGCAATGCTTTGACGTATTTTAACAATATTACAATAGTACTTTAAAGTATCTTTTTTTTTATACTTCTCTTAAAATTCTTTCAATACTTGTTCGTTTCATAATTTGTTGGACAGGCAGTATCAATCTTAAACAAATAAATCCATAGTTGATTTCATTTTCAAAAAGAAAATAATAAATAAATAAAAATCTTACACTTATTTTTACATTCATTAAGTATAGGATTTGACCATTAGTTAATACTACTTTATTATTTTAAATAAATAAATAAAAGGTTTAACGATGCCTTAATAAAGCTTGAAAATTAAAATAAAGCTTGGTTTTGTTTTTACTTAAGACATTTTCTTTTCTAATAAAATTATTCCTTTTATTTATTTTTGGTTCATTTAAAGATTTTTGAAAGACAATTTTTGAACATATGCTAAAACCCGATGTATCGCTATATCGCGATGTCTAATAGATGATGTATCATGATTTAAAATATCTTACATCGCTCAATCCAGCTCAGTAGTCATAATAAATGTATTAGGAATTTATAAATGACATGGAAACTAGTAGATTATAAATGCCAAACAACAATTTAAACGTCACCTGGATTTGATGATTTTTGAAACTCTCGTGTCCATTTCACGAGCCATGCTTTTGCCCATTTCATGAGGAAATGGGCAAAAGCGAAATGTGTCAAAAAGTGATTATTTAAATATGCGATTTGATACTCTCATGCTGTAATAATATCGTAATAAAAATATTGCTTTATTAAAATCACGTGGTAATGCTTAGCAATAACTGCCTTTAAAAAATCGTTTCGACTTAGGAAGAAATCGGTACAAATAAAGAACATCAAAAGGTGATAAATTATATAGGTTATTTATAACTCACAAATCGCACAAAAACAAATCGGAATCTTAAAAACCACATGGAAATTGGTAATTAGAAAATGCCAAAAAAACAATTGAAAGTTCACTTGGATTTATGATGAAATCGGCGAAAATTACTCAAATTCGAAATTCGCGTATTATAATTTTATACTAAAAATATTGGGTCTTTTAAAACCATGTGGAATTTCGCAACAATAACAAATGAAAAGGGCCGGGATAGCCTGGTCGGTAGGGCGCTGGGCCCATATCCAAGAGGTCGTGGGTTCGATCCTTGCCGGCCGAAGACTCCCCGTGTAGTAAATGGTGACTGATGCACGTTAAATCTGTCGAGTCTCAAAGTCCTCCATGTTCCCACAACAAATCAATACCTCTGGGGTACTGATCCAGGAGTTTCCTTGTCTTCTGGATTGGTTCAAAATTACAAGGCTACGGAGTTGAACGTAAGTAGTCGTAAACCCATGAAATTGGGTCGGCTGTTCAACGACGGTTATAAAATAAAATAAAATAACAAATGAAAAATCAATCAAGAAACAGCATAAATTTGCAATAGAATCGTAAAATTGAGCGCATTAAAAAGTGACTATTCAAAAATTCAAATTTTTCGGCAATTTTTTAATTCTTCTAATATTTTTTTAAAATTGCATTCGAAAGCTCCTGCAGGCCGCAGGCTGTGCGCTCCTAATTTATGCAGTAAAATAATGCTATCATTGTAACTCAGCTTTTTAACAAACTATATTAAATTACACATTTGATGAGCAACCAAAAATTTACCATTAAACCTTTCTTATAAAACAAACACCAATAAAAACTACACTACATTTGATTTGATTTTTATCACATTAAAAGATAGTATATACGTTTAATTATGATATAAATATAAGTTTATAAACTATATATATGTAACAACAAAAAATGAGTAATCATATTAACATTATATCAAAATATTTACAAGCAATTTTCATGAAGACATAGTAGATTGAGAAATAAGGCTGAAAATCAATAAAATTGATAACAACGTAGCAGAACTGATGAAATTAAAGTTTGTTATATAGGTTTATAATGATATGTGAACAAAAGACTTTTTCAATTTAAAAGATAAGTTTATTACCTCAGTATTAGGTGAATCAAGACGAAGAACTGCCACTCCATTTTTAATTTCTTGTTTGAAATGTAATTCAGCTGAAAAATAAAAACAAATTGAATAATTAAAAATATATACTGTCAGAATCAAAATTTAGATAAATGTTAATTAATTTTGTAATCAGCATCTAGTTAACTTTAATGCATTGCGCATAACAAGGTAAATAACACTGAATTGTGTAAAAAATTTATTAGACACTAAACTGTTAAGCACATAACTTGCAGTTTAATATTTTAAAAACAAGATATTTTGAGAACATTCAATGAAAACTCATCTAAGTCATTATAAATTTTAAGTTTACTTCATCACAATTTCCCTTAAACTTAATTGAAATAATCCATTGCCAATATCAATGGAAATTATTAAAATATAAAACTTGATGAATATTAAACCTAAAATTCAGTGCTCCAAATAGATAGAAAAGCTGTGTGCTTAACCGAATCCCGCATCAAACTATAAAGATAAATATGTAGAAAGTAAAATTATTACAAGACATTTATCACTAAATAAACACATGAGTAATTATTTAGTGCTTCTGCAAAATACATTTTAGATAAGTTTTACATACCCTTTGGAAACACATACATATTCAATTTAGTTTTGAGGATGTGTTAGTTGTGAGGATATTTCCGTATCGTGATCTGTCGCGCCAACTACAATCACTAAGGTGTCAAATAGATTTTAAACTTGCAAATTTAGAAATTAAAAAAAAAAAATACATGTAGACGTTTGCCCGGGGGTGACTACGAGTTATACCTTTCAAGTTGGTCCCTTTCTGTGATGTTTTTTTCAGTTTCTCGCTGGCCACTGCCCGGAAGTTTCCAAGACTTGGCGATAGTTCTGCCACAGATCACGATACGGAAATCTCCCTTTAGTTCTCCTAAATATATGGTGAATTTTTAAAAGTGCCATATTTGATTTAGGCGAATATTCTGACTATCTCGACCCCGACGCGGGCGGAGGCCTCAGATGGCTCCCGAACCCAAAAATCTGAAAGTAATTTTTTAGAGTTTAAAATCTGACTTCAAAACTGAAGAAGTGGGAGTTATCCTGCAAAGGAATCCCTTCAGATCCTTTCCTGAAGGGATGAAAGGAAGGGTTCAGGAAAAGGATCAGCATTATCCATGAAAAGCCATCTCATGTGTATTTCTCATTTTCACGTCATCCTGTAGAATAAAGACGAGAACACGAAACTCTACAACCTTACGACCATTGAGGGAGAGCAAGTCACCGTACAGAGGTACAGGGGTGACCGCCGTCGTCATATCCAGTGTTTTCGATGCCAGCGGTTCGGCCATGTTCAACGAAACTGGAACGGCTAATCACAATGAGTGGAGTGCATAGGCCCCCACTCCTCCTACACCTGCACTGAGGATCCAGGAGAGCCCACCCTCTGCTGTAACTGCGGTCAATCACATTCCGCCAATTTTACAGAAAATGAATACCGAAATAAACAACCGAGGAGAAAACTTCGTTCACCTTAGGACAAGGCTTGATACGACCTTAACCCTTTCGCGCCGNTAGACGTTTGCCCGGGGGTGACTACGAGTTATACCTTTCAAGTTGGTCCCTTTCTGTGATGTTTTTTTCAGTTTCTCGCTGGCCACTGCCCGGAAGTTTCCAAGACTTGGCGATAGTTCTGCCACAGATCACGATACGGAAATCTCCCTTTAGTTCTCCTAAATATACGGTGAAGTTTTAAAAGTGTCATATTTGACTTAGGCGAATATTCTGACTATCTCGACCCCGACGCGGGCGGAGGCCTCAGATGACTCTGATCCCGAGCAGATGGCTCCCGAACCCAAAAAATCTGAAAGTAATTTTTTAGGGTTTAAAATCTGACTTCAAAACTGAAGAAGTGGGGGTTTGACGGAAGGGATTTCGAAGGAAGGGATTTGACGATTTAAGGAAGGTCCAGTTCAGGTGAAGGATCAGCATGATCCATGAAAAGCCATCTTATATGGATCTTCTCATTTTCTCGTCATCCCAGAGAATAAAGGCGAGAACAGGAAACTGTGTAACCTCAGGACCATTGAGTGAGAGCAAGTCACAGTAGAGAGGTACAGGGGTGGTCGCCGTCAAATCCTGTGTTTTCGATGCCAGCGGTTCGGCCATGTTCAACGAAACTGGAACGGCTAATCACAATGAGTGGAGTGCATCGGCCCCCAATCCTCCTACAACTGCACTAAGGATCCAGGAGAGCCCACCCTCTGCTGTAACTGCGGTCAATCACATTCCTCCAATTTTACAGGAAGTGAATACCGAAATAAACAACCGAGGAGAAAACTTCGTTCACCTTAGGACAAGGCTTGATACGACCTTAATGGAACTAAAGGAACTTTTCAACGATCTCGAGCTGGCTGAGATCATCAGATCTATTCTGCTTTAATTTCTACTTTCTCAGAAGATAAGTCAGAATTCTGCTATCCAACCTTTTTCAGTTGGTTACCCACGGGTATCCAGCCACAAGGAGATTTTCATCTTCAGGCAGACTCACCTACTTCATTCACTACCCTTCTCATCATTTTGTAGATGGCCTTATTGGACAGGTACTCCTCTACACATCTTTACTAGCTTCCGCTGTCTTAGGATTATCAACTCTGCGCGCTTTTTGTTAAAATTTTATAAATGTTTATGTTTTAATCTGTTATTATTTATTCATTTAAACTTATTTACAACACCACTACATGTAAATAATTTAAAAGTTCATATGCAACGCCCGTTTATTTCAATTCATTCGTGAAGAAGCTATTAAAATGTCGGGAAAAAGACCAAAAATTCAGAAAACTTTGGTTTTTGAATGTCTACCACTCTATAAAATATTTTTTCAAAAATCGCAGTTGTTGGCTGGCCTGTAATCTGAGTCGTTAATTGGCACTTCCTAAAAAATAATTAACGAATGCATTAAGTATTTCTGGTGGAGTTTAGGCGATTACTATAAGTGCATGAAAATCAAGCCTAATGACTCAAACATACTATTAATCAAATAATTTACTATTAAATGAAGAGCTTAGTGAATTAAGTAGGCAAGTAACATTTTGAGTTATTCCCACTCTTCACTTTATTTGGTGCTTGGCAAGCCCTCTCCTCCCAATTCTATTCCCACTTCACGTATCCCCCCCCCCATTATATGCCTCAAAAATCCGACGTATCAGTTAATGCCGATTCTTGGCTGCGCACTGAGACTTGAGCTATGTTCTAATGTTCACTTACCTGGTATATCCACTCTTACTTTCTAACGATTAACCCCTTAGGGACGGGTGATTCAGAAAAGCATTCGTACAAAATCAGAATCAAGTTGTAATTAAATAAAAAACGGTAACTTAAAAGTAATCGTTGCTAATTTGACAGACTTACTTTGCTTTTACTTTAATTGTTAGTATTAGTTTAATCATATATATAATCAATGTTAATTCAAAGTATAACTAAATAGTTTTATTTTGAACAAAGTAATGGTGAATTAAATAAATCAAACAATTATAACTCCGCCCACAAATAAACTGCTGAAGAATTACTTTGATTACCAGTTTTATCTTTTTACCCTGATTGATACGGTTTTATGCTGGCACGTATTTGTGACAGTCGGAGCGAAAGGGTTAAGATGGAGACATGAGTAAAATAAAAATTGTAAAAACTTAAAATTGCAAACACATCAAAATTAAATGTAATACAATCTCTCATGAAATAAATTTAATATTTATTTCATGTAGTTCCTGTTAAAATGGCAATTTTGTATTATACGAGGAGCAGTTAAAAATACTTTTTTATACATAAAACCATTACAATTACTAACTATTAATCATATCAATTTCAGCTTCATTTCTTTTAATTCAGAGTAAGTCAGAAAAAAAAAGGCATACCGCAGTATCACACTTCCCTAGGTACTTGAGTTCGGCCCTCATTTTTACCCTCCCTTTCTTTAAAATCCGAGGAGGAGGCTAATTTCAGATAACGAAAAAACAAAAATATATTAGCAATAAACATCCATTTGTGACTATCAATAAATATTATCAAATCTAATATTATATAATTATTATCAAATGTACCCATATAAATATTAATCAAATGTACCCAAAGGATTAATTGGTTCCAAGGTTTTCACTGGAATTAAAAATGTTTAATAATGGTGATAAATTTAAGTTTGTATTTCTGTATAAATTTATATTTTTTATCTTTTGCATAACTATCAACTAGATTAAAGTTTTCAAATAGATATATTTTCTTTAATATAAAATAAGGTACAGTTATACAAATAAATTAAATATCTTCATTTCTTTACCACTTTATCAAAATTCCTAAGACTTGCGGAAACCTTGGGAAGCAATATTTTAGTTTTACAAAATATAACAAAATTTAAAAAAACAGAAATGCCATGGGCGACAAAAATTGNGTGCTCTTGCGCGCCGAAGCCTATAAATTAGAACGTATTAGCGTTTTATATAATATAGATCAGCCATAAGATGCTCACTACGTGCTCTTGCGCGCCGAAGCCTATCTATTAAAACGTATTAGCGTTTTATATAATATAGATAGATGTCTTCATTTCTTTACCACTTTATCAAAATTCCTAATACTTGCAGAAACCTTGGGAAGCAATATTTTAGTTTTACAAAATATAACAAAATTTCAAAAAACAGAAATGCCATGGGCGACAAAAATTGCAAAAAGTGACAGGGACTATCATTTCATGTGTATTTATTAAATCTAGTTAATAATTCAAACGAAACTCAAACCGGTACTTAGATTACACATTTTTCACATGAAACATTCATAGCATTCTCTTAAGAACTGAAAGAAATATGGTAGAAAAAAATTATTAATTTTAATTTCTTTTAATGGATTTTTTTATTAATTAGTCGCCCGTGGCATCCGTGCGTCAATAATATTATCATACTATAATCCTACCTTCATCTCTATTCATCATGTAACCTTTTTGTTTCCTTTTGGACAATATCAGTTCATAAAATGTTTTGAAATTGTTTGTCACAAAAAATAAATAAATTATTAATAACTACACTTTTATTACTTTCCTTATCTTTTTAATAAATTATCGAGAAACGGAAAAGGACAACTGAAGGTACTGAAGATTGAAGATCATTTCAATTGGTAATTCAATAAATAAATATCCTTTGTCACAAAAATATGCATTTCTATGTTTAATCTTTATCTTCTGTAATCTTATCTTTTCAAACAATGATGTTTGCTGGCAATGAGCTGTGATTAGTGGTGACTTCTTCAATACTCTTTATCTGAAAAGTAACAAAAATTCAAAAATAGAGCAGTATAATAATCTTATTAAGCTGTAATATTTAAAAGTTTAATGGTAAAAACTTATGAATAGTTGTTTATTTCAGTTTTCAAAGAAACTCGCTGACCAAAAAGAACTCTAGTGTTCCTTGGAAGGTTCCCGCGGTCCTTGAAAACTTTTAAAAGTGGTAGTAAATTTAGGGTGATGCTACAATACATTTTTTTTAATTTTAATATACCTTTTATCGTTGAGGATATCTGGAATTTTCACGTATATATATTTTTAGTAAACAATTTTAAGTGGTGGCTACACAGAAATTAAAATATCAAAATTTGTTTTAATTTTGTTACCACTTTTTAAAATTCTCAAGGACCGTGGGAATCCTGAATTAGGACTTTTCTTCAATTATTCTATAATTATTGCGTTTTTTTCCGCAAAAATTATTTAAGTAAGAAGGCTGTGAATAAAAGAGTGATCATTTACGGTTTCATAACTGAAAAATATTCACAACGCTAATGGAGCGAAGCATTTTAACTAGTATTTAATTTAGAATGTTTAAGTTTGTATCTTTAATAAAAGTAAGATGATCTCCGAAGCAAGTAAAGGAATAAATTTTTTTATTAGCTTTAACCCTTTCATGGGCTATTTATTTCTAGTAAAGGTAAATCAAAGTATTTTTGAAATTGAAATTGCCTTAAGAATAGTAATTGATATAAGAAAAAAGAGCTCATTTAGTTTATAAAAATGCCTTTTTGTAGGAGATAAATATATTTAACGCGTCCTATTAGGATCTTATTGACTTTTCTTTTATTTTATTTATAAAATAAATTTTATAAATATTGCTAACTTCAAAAGGAATTATATATTTCATAACTTTTATATGTTTTTTGAAACTACAAATGGTTACCAATTTTATTCAAACCCACTTCAAGAAAACTGAAGTTATTAACAAGTGGAAACCTAAACTAAAAGTGGTAAAAAAGTGGTGTTAAGTATACTTCCCACGGCCTTCGAAAGGGTTAATGCTATTCATTAATTTTTAAGGGCTGTACATATCGTGTAGTGACTAATACAGTTCCTAAAAATTAGCAACAGTACCCAATTAAAAACAGTGACAAATCAAATAACATTAAATCTATCAAATTCTTTTAGGCTATTTATTTCGATTTTTCATTAAAAGAAATATCCATAAGATTTTTGATATAAACATATATTTTTTATAGTACTATCGTATTAGGTAGCAACGAATTAATTTATAAAATTAGCTATTAAATAGAATAAATGTCTACCACCTTTTCGTTATTTGGTGCTCGTAATTTCACTTATATTTTTTTAATCGATATTGTATGTTGCTAGTAAGATTTGGCAGTTATTCCTGAAAATCTAAATGTGGTAAAACAAAAAAATTATTCACCCATTACGGATTAGTGTAGTTGCAGTGCTTCCCAAAGTGTGGTACGCGTTCTTGTGCGAAACACCTTGCAACAAACGAAAATTCAAAATTTTTTATTTAAAAACAAAGCTAGGCATGAAAATTTACGATTACGTATTTTTCTATTGCCATTTTTTGGCAGAGTTAACAGTTAATAATTAGTGGTGTCAACAGCCAGTTGTGATTTTTAACTTAACTATCCATTCTAAATAAACATTTTTTAAAAAATACATTCATTTTTTAATTAGTGGTACATAGCGTTGCGAAAAATTTAGAAAGGGTTAACAATGGCCATAAGTTTGGGAAGCACTGATAGTGCAATAGAAAAGAGAGTAGCTTGGCCTATGCAATTCTGTAAACGATAGCTAATAACTTTTATAAATGAATAATTTTTTAATTACCGTGGTAATTCAAAAAGAAAAAAAAATCTTTTAACATCCTACTCTCATTTTATTTTACTTCATAACCGTCGTTGAACAGCCGCACCAATTTTGGGGAATACGACTACTAATGTCAAGTATTGGGAGAAATTTGCCTTCGTGGACGACCTTTTGATAGAACTAACCCGCTTTTGCATTACACGGAGAGGAAGACCACGAGAACCTCCCACGGTTAGCTGGACGGCAAAGGGACTCTAACCCATGATGCGTCAACAGCTAAGGATATTTCACGTCAGCACTATGGTCGGTGCAAGCCGGATGCGAATTCGTATCGACCAGCCATCGTTGTATTCGAACCCGCTTCACCTCATTGGAAGGCGAACGCTCTATCCCCTGACCTATAGCGGTTTACTCTCATTTTGGTCGATCTTAATTTCACGTTTCTAAAAGCTTCTAGTATGATCTTTCAAATTGTGTCAACTGTTTTGCCAAGTAATTTTACTACCCATCCAAATAATGATATTTCATCACTCGGGTATCAGAAGGGAAAAGATGTGTTGACCACTTTTTTAAGGGGCACCATAGTAGGTGCACCAACACTATCCTCATATGAAGAAGAGTAGATAGTACAGAGAGGAAGAAACAAACATCCATGCCTCTGATTGAGAGTCGAACCCGAAACCTTTCGGACTTGAGGTCAGCCACCTGATCACCATACAGCCCTGGCGGCAAATAAAAAATACCTGCAGAAGTATTTTATATTTCTTTATGGTATAATTTCTGCTCTAAAAGCATCATCAGTATTGTTAACAATCCTTACGTGACCTGAAGTTCCTAAATTAAAAATATGCTTTATAAAAAAAATTTGTAAATAATACTAAATAATAAAAAAAACTTATTTGTCAAAGGGTAAAGTAGCAATTATTTCCTGTGGGAAGAACAATTTTCCTCATATTTGATATTTTTATTTGGTGAATAAAGAGAGAAATAAATTTTAATAACCCATGTATGCATATATATGCAAAACTACTATCTGCAAAAAGTGGTAGAACTTTATTTGCTTACACCAAAGTGGATATTTCTTTCTGTAACTAACCCAGAGATGCCAATTGCTCAGGGCACGCCAAAATAATTAAAACAACGGTAAATAACTACAAAGTAAATTTTGCAAATATTTGACCATTCTTGCTTGCTTTTTAAAAGGTATAGCATGACAGAAGTATGACGACGACGACGATCTGTATTTGTTAAGGTGCCTGCTCGCGTCAGCGGGCACTTGACCTCTTAATCTGTAGATTTGCCCTAGGGCAACGGTGACTAATGCCATAAAGAGTTCGAAATGGGTATTCCACAGAAGGAAATCCGTGGTCGTCTTTATTGGAGTATCCCTGAGTCTAGTTCTTGCGAGCTGGGAGAAGAGAATGGAGCAATGAGACTAACTCCTCGTCTTTCAAGAGTTCCTGTAATTCCTTGACTATGTTCAGAAATCTAGTGGCTGTTCTGGCGGCACTCCATTGTTCTTTCTTTTTCGGTGCGAATTTTCTCCTAGGCCTGGATGGGCAGCCTGAAAAACAGGCTGTGTGATCTTTCTTGCAATTCACACAAGTCGGAAGCTCACTCAAGGGCTTTGTGCATCGGTAGGAGTAATGCGCGCCTGCGTATTTCATACACGCTGGCTCATCTGTGCAGACCTTCTGGGTGTGGCCAAATCCTTGGTACCTGTAGCACTGGATTTCGTGGTGGCCGACACGAAATCTTTCCACCCGGACAGGTGTATTCAGCAGTCGGTCCAGTTTAAAGATTTTCCGGTGCTCGGGAACATCGTTCAGAATGACTAGGAAGAGTGGGAGGAGTTTGTATTCCTGACCACGCCTCTTTCTGATCTGCTCTGTTCTGATTGGTCGAAGACCAATGTCTGAGAGTTCGCTTTCGAGATTCACCATCTCGGTGTCGATGTTAAGTCCACGTATAAGGGCTTTGATTTTCCTGCCGGTGGGATGCAGAGTATCTTTCGGCGTGAAGTAGCTGGGGTGAAGTAGCTGGGGTCTCAACCGTTGCCGAGGCTTCAGTAGTGTCTCCTTGCTCCATCTGTTCTAAATCTGGTTCCGCCGGTGTTGTGGGGATAATCTCTTTGTCGTGGTGAGGTTGCTCACTTTCTAACTTGGGTTCAGAGCTGGTTGGTGTCGCCGGGTTGACACCGTTCTTTCTCCGTTTTTTCTTTTTCTTTTCTTTCACAACAGTAGGAGGTTGTTGTGTAGCAGGCTCAGAGGTGGGGATTGAGTCTGGCTCATCTGTTACAGGAGTTGAGTCAACCGGGGTTGTAGTCTGAATATCCATAGTTTCCAAAGCAGGCTTTGGTTCCTCTGTTGTGGGAGTTGAATCAGCCGGAGTCGTTGTCTGGATATCCGTAATTTCCAAAACTGCGTCTGGAACTTTTGGCTTAGCAAGAGCTTTGAGTTCTTCTAAGTAGATCATTCTGTAGAGATTTTCTTTTGTCGCTTGGCCTTCATCAAAGCTTCTTCTCATTCGCCTGGTTTCTTTCTCTTGATTGCAAATCATACTTAAAAAGTCATCTTTGCTCGTAAAATACGAAGCCTTTTTGTGGGCTGCAACCTTCATCGCTTCTCTAAGGGCATTGTGATCAAACGCATCGTCATTAACGCTTCCGCGAGAGGGTCGGAAAACCTTCCCTCCCTTCCCTCCGTGGCCAAATCTAATCGAAGTCATCGTAGCAGGAGCTCGGTTATAACGCAACCTAACTCAACGATATGCAATGATCGAATCGGTGACAAAAGTACTATAAATAGTGAATTATATAAGACTACGAATTATTTAGAAATAGTGGTGGGTAAAAATCTACTAAATTGAATTTATTAAAACAAGAATTACAATTCATAAACTACACTTTAAAATATATATTTGTTGTCAGGAACATGTTGGCATCTCTGCTAACCACTTTAAAAAAGGAACGTGTCTTTCTTCATATTCAAGTATAAACGTTTATATTATTAATATATGATGTCTAATGACAGGCAAAGAGAAATTGGTTCCGCAAAGTTAATTCAAGCAATTGACCACTTGAGCCACCACTTTTTTCTTTTTTAGAAAAAACTGTCCTTTTGAAAAGATGCGAAGCACATTTAGGTTTAAAAAGAAACAAATACTTTAACACATAATTCACTATATAGAAGATATTTATAAAGTTGATGTATATTGAAAAAGTGTTTTCACTACAACGCGAGAATCTCGCATATTTTTTTCTTTTCTCGCATTAAAAAATTATTACTGAGAGAAATTCGCGCATTCTATAAATCAATTTCAAAATTCGCGAATTTCTCGCATTTTGGAAGAAGCTTCGAATTACGCTATTTAGAATAAAATCCGTTTCACTTTTCTTCCTGGATCTTTCATTGTTTTCAACATTTGTTCCATTATCTAGCTTCCCTATTTACCAGTATTGTTCAGAACCTTTTCGAACAACAGAACACCACCGAACCACGGAACCCCTTTCAGAACACATTTCTCTGCAACCACGTGTTTACCGTAGGTAAGGTTTTTTCATGTAAGACGTTCAAATTTTTTATGCACTAATGTAAGATGGACAAATACCTAGTAAAGACAAAATCTTCTATGATGATGCAGCAAAAATATTCAATGCTTTAAAAAATAGAAGGCGTTAAAAATGTATCATAATAAAAGAAATGATTTTTTTTTCAAGTCTATTTGTGTTTTTTTAGTTTTTAGAAATCTCACTTAACTTTCTGAAATCTCACCCTGTTTTTGAGAAAGGGTGAGAAATTCTCACCCATTTTTTTTTCTATGATGAAAACACTGAATTGAATAATTCATATTTTCTACTTTCAGCTACACTTTCAAAATTAAGTATCCGAGATATTTTAGATCAAAATATAAATGTTTTTATTATTCATATAAGTGAAATAATACAACAAAATAATAATTTTACTAAATAATTCAAGGATATCCAGAATTGAAAGGGAAAAATGAAAGGAAGATGTAGTAAAAAAATTATGCTTAACCACTCGAGATTTTTTCCCTTTAACAATACTAATTTCTTTTAAGATTGACAATAAGGAATTTTTTTTTTTTCCTGTTGCACGAGTTTTCTGAACGGATCTTAAATATTTTTGAATTGCCGATTCCAAGTCTGCAATCGGTTTCTCTCTTCAAGCTACAGTTTCTAAGCCACTTAATAATATATTCCCCATTTTCAAATTCACACGACTGATCACTACGTGTCTCCCCCCTTTCCTGCTACGTAGGGAGTAGTTTAAAAAAAAGTGATAATATATTTCAGTTCATGATGCGATACGCTATTTGTCTTAGGTGTTATTTTCAAAGGAGCTTACAAGTGTATATGTATGCTGTATATAAACCTATAAGTCTCTTATAAGTTTGTGCATTCAGACAATACATAAACTTTTTTTTAACGGCAGGTGCTGAACTTCCCCTTCTTCACCTCTGCAGATGCCGGAATTCTTGCTCATTTAGCGTTAACTGGTGGGCCTAAGTCTCGGAATGAAATAAATTTAATAAATGCCATGTCTTTAAATTTCTTTTATTTTATTTCTTCCTATTGCGCCTTACAATTTGTACTCATTAGAAAAAAAAATTTCAAGTACAGATTTATTTATCATCTCTTTCAATACGATTAACACATTAACAAAATACTTTTATATAGAGCTACAATAATTGTATATTTTTATACTAAAATGATCTGTGTTTTTGTAGAAAATATTGATGCTTAATAAATAAACAATAGTGAATGAAAATTAATTACGGGAGTGGTTAGCGGAGCAAGAAGGGGGCGGAACCTCCTTCTCTAATAAAAATTTAAATTTTAGCTCACGCTTTATTTTGAAAATATATTTGACCCTTTTTAAAAACATTACTCAAATCTAAATCATTGACACGCCATTGGGAGACAAAATATTTTGTTTCTTCTAAAATTGGACGAACAACATTATAATTCTCCTGACCCAATTTCTTATTTTCATTAATGCGTTGCGACCACAACATTAAGCTTCCAAATAACACAAAAATATCCTTTCTGCAGCTTAACGCAGTGTTTCCCAACTTATGACTTTTATGTACCCTTTCTAAATTTTTCGCAACGCTGTGTACCACGAATAAAAAAAATGAATTTATTGTTTACTATAAAAAAATTGCACAAAAGTAAAAAATCAAAATTGACTGTTGACATCACTAATTATTAACTGTAAACTCTGCAAAAAATAGCCAATAGAAAAATCCGTAATCATAAATATTCATGACTAGCTTTGTTTTTAAATAATTTGAAATTTTTGTTTGTGGTAAGTTATTTCGCATAAGAACGCGTACCCCCTCTAAACTGTTCCCGTACCCCTGGAGGTACGCGTACCACACTTTGGGAAACACTGACTTATCGCTATTACTCGAACTTTAGAATATCTTACTTCATTTAGATATTGAACGAATATTTGTATTCCTTTCGCTAAAAATTAAAACAAGCATTTTTAGTTTCAAAAATCATACCGATCTATAATCAGAATGAAATACATCAGAATTATTTTTGTTCAAATTTTCTTATACCAATATAAAACAGATTAAGAAAGACTTAAAATTAACTGTCCAACTTAATTCTTTTTAGAAGTCAAGAATCATAAAGAGTACTTACCATAAGAAAACAGATATACAAATAACAGCCAAGGTCAATGTTGACATCGCCAACGAAAATACGTAAATTTCTAGCAATAATTATTCTGAAACTAGATTTGATAGAGGCCGAATTTTCTATCGCAGTAGTTTAGTTTTCATCAACACTAGATCGTCAGAAAGCGTAAAATAACAACAAAGAAATAAGCTTCAGTGATAAAAGAGCGGGAAAGAAAAGAAGAAAGATATGAAAATAGTTGCCTTCAAGGTTAAAGGAAATTGTAAAAAACTTCACTTTTAATTGAATCAAGTTGGAAAAACAAAAATCATATGTGTTGTTTTTATTACGATACAGCGCTTCCCAGAAAGAGTTCCGCGGAATCCCAGGGTTCCATCACTGAGGTTCTGAAAGTTTGAACTTTTTATTGATTTTTAGGCATGCAATAAAATTTATATTCAATAAATAATATTTCTTTTTTTAATATTTCGGGAAAGTAGAGTGCAAATGAAAGTAGAGATCATAAAATTTATAAACACTATTTTTTTTCTGAAACAAAAAATTAGGAAACATAAATGATTTTTTAAAAAATTTCATCACCATTTATCAAAATTTTCAATTGTCATTAAAAAAAAAAAAAACAAATTCAAGGATTTAAAAGTATGCTTTTCTAATACCATTCTCACCACATATAATAGATTTTTAAGAAAGCATAATTTAGCATATTTTATTCATTTTAGGCTTATGCATAAGCCAAAACAATGTCAAATGCCAAAACATCTTCAAAATAAATACTATTCTTTCCTTAAATAATATATTTTCAGCTGTTAAGGGTCAGTATTCATAAAGTAGGGGTTCTACCAAAAAAATAAATAGCCAGCATAGAATTTTATCTATCTACTTTTTAAAAATTCGATTTCTCAGAAACTACTCGACCAATTAAATTCAAATTTTGTATTTTTCCATATAAAATGACGTTCTTTAAAACTCTGGAACCATTTGCATAACTTGAAATTGGAAATTTTTTTTTAACCACTATTAAATAAACTAGCAAAAATCATTCTTAAAAATTGTTTTTTACGTACAATTAGATAAACGAATAGAACTTTAGATAAACGAAATTTAAAATTGCGGGCAAAAAATTTTCAATATGCTTGAAAAGTTCTCGAGATATGGTGAAATATGAAAAAAGTTAATTTCACATTTAAGGGATTCAAACTTATGACTGCCCTCCTGACTAAACTATTGGGACCATATTTCACAGATAGCCCCTACCCCATCACCTCCTCCTCCAGAAAGCTACCACACGGATTTTTATAAGTATTCTGTGCAATCTATATAAAAAGTGAACCAGTTGTGCGTAAAAACAAAATTTCTATTTTAAAATTAATTGAGAGAAAATTATCATATCCATTTGAGAACTGAATCTGTGGTGGTTGACAAGTAAATAACCAATAATATTCATAGATTAAACCAATTTTTAGACATATATTTGCTACCACTTTCTTACTTTGACAAGATTTTGTTTAACATGACTTTTCCGCAAACTGTTACACGTTCATTGTGATCTGATCGGTGATTATCCCCTAAATTTTATCGTAATCCATCGGAAAAAACCAATGCTTATTCGTAAGAAGTGCGTCTTTGTATCGGTTTTCATAACTTAAAATATTTTTTTTTTAATGGCTGGCACTTGGAACTATTGTCCATTGGCCACAGAAAGTGCCAGAACTGCTAACTCTCTTTTCGTTACCCAGTGGGCACCTGTGGCGAAGCCACGGCGGTGAAGAAGCGTCGCCCACGTCACACTACCACAACCCGTTTGTAGGGCGAGTCACATTCACACACAAAGAAGAAAGGACATAGAACACAGATAGAGAGAAAGAAACATCCATGCCTTGCCCGGGATTCGAACCCAGAACCTTTCTGATGCAAGGACAGTTCCCTGCCCCCTACACAGGCCGGTCGGCTAACTTAAAATATCGTTTGCACTAACGGATTAGCATATTTGAGTTCATCCCTTTAAACTGTTTAGAATGAGTCCTAGGACGTGACAATCCATTCATTAAATCAAAAGTTATTCAGGGTGTTTCGATTATTTTGATGAGCATAATAAATATGTATGCTTTCTTAAGAAAGCAGCAATTGCATCTGCTTTTAAATAAAGAGAACGAATATTTTACGATTTTATACTCACGAGTTATCGTTTGAGCAAAAGAGCAAACGTAAGAATGAACCTTAACCATGGACCATTTTTTAAAAATATTTAGTGGAGAAAAAAATAATTAGCAACTAGGAATAACCAAACCTAACGAGCTTTTTGTACGCGTGTGTGAATTATAACATCTTTTGAAATCTAATTTAATAAATAAAAATAAATAAACATGGAATCATACTACCACAGAGAAACACAATTTGTTAACTGGCTGCCCAACCTAATTAAAAAAAACTGATTGCCGACTTGGGAATTTAACTTTATTATAAAATATTAAAATAATTTTTAAGCAACATATTTAAAAACGATTGTGATTACTGTTTTAAAACTGATTAATAAGTTTGAGATGGAATTTCTTGCAAATTACTACCAGTTTTTTTTTCTTTTAAATTATGTCAACCAGAGCCGGATTATACCTTTCGTAGGCCCTAGGCACAGAGCCGGATTATACCTTTCGTAGGCCCTAGGCATAGCCATTTTTGGGCCCTCCCCTCTTTTCAAAATAAATGCTGAAATTTTCTTGCATATTTTTTTTAAACATTTTTATTAATATGGATTATAATTAACGAATTTGTTTATTGAACTTTATCTGCAATACCGACATACTGCCGATATTGCAGTTGATATCGATAATACCATTATGATTAGTTCGATTGATAACTATGTAAACACTTCACGTCAACAATACAACAACAAACCAGCAAAGAAAACAGTGAAATTGATAGTGAGATTAATTACAAGAAATATTTATACAGTAGAGAACCAATTATCTGGGATGCTCGGGACCATCGCTATCCCGGATGTCTGAATTTCCCAGTTTTCTGGATCGACCAAAAAGTGTCATTAATCGATGTTTTATCGAACCCGAATTACAAGGAAATTACACAAAAATTTGTCAGAATCTGAGATTAAACTAAAAGCGCAAAATTTGGTGAAAATTTACTCATCCGATTTAGAGAAAAACTTTGTAGATGAATTTTTACTATTTTCAAATTTATATGAACATAAATCTGCACAAGAAATGTTGAAGGCTCAAATTAAAGATAAACTTGTGAATACTTTTCCTAACGTTCACATTGCATTAAGAATATATTTGTCGATTCTTGGATCAAATGCAGAAGGAGAAAGATCTTTCTCCAGATTAAAATTGATAAAAAATTATTTGCGTTCAACAATGAATCAAGATCGTTTGGCATCGCTCGCACTTATGTCTATTGAATACGACATTTTGCGTAGTTTGGAATTCGACAGCATAATACAAGATTTCGTTGAATCCAAAAATCGCAAAAAAGTAATATATTAGATCATAAGATTCTGCAAAATAATTTATTACCGAAAAATATTATATTTTTATTTGTATCTTCATAATTTTGTGCAAAATACACTTGTTGTTTTTAAAGCTAAATTATTTTTGTCAACAAATTTTTTTCTCCCAAGTTTTTCGTAGGCCCTAGGCACGTGCCTAGTGTGCCTATAGGTTAATCCGGCCCTGATGTCAACGTGTCCGTTTTTAACGATTAAGCACAAGCCTATAATGTCCTTTCAGAAATACGGTTCCTATCTTAAAGAAAGACAAAAGTGGCAGTACAGAGATGTTACTGTTGAAATTTATTATGCAAAAACAAGGTAGTCCCATCTACCACAATTTACTTGGAATATAAATATATATATTTGGGTCTTCAGTCAATGAGCAGCGCATTTTTAAAGCTAAAGTGGTAGATAACAGAATGAAATATCAACTTTACATAAACAGATATGTATACAATTTTATTCCAACATGTATTTTGTGCCTAGGCATAATTGAGTTAACTAGATGAAGTGCAATTACGACCATAATTTTAAAAAGATTTTCGGTTCTTTTTCGCTGTTCCAACGAGAGAGAAAAAATGAGTGCTAGCTTAGGTTTCTCAAATCTACTGAAAAGTGTTTACATTTTGCAATCATTTGAGAAGTACAATAATTAATCAAGAGTAATTTTTTGCATTCAAATATTTGCGTTATTACTTAATGAGTTTCAAAAATGAAAAGTTCCGAAATGAGTTTCGAGCTCTGTAATAAATAATATCGTATTAAAAATATCGTGATTTTTAAAAACCATACGAAAATCAGAATGAATAACTGCTGAAAAAACTATGGAATCGTCGTGTCAAAAAGTAAAAACTCAAATGAGCGATTTGACTTTGACATGTTTTAGTAACATCGCTTAAAAAAATACAAAGATTTGAAAAAATAATTATTTAATAATCAATAACAATAACTACCGAACACCACAATTGAAACACCACGCGGGTTTATCATGAAATCAATGCAAATCTACCGCGTACGACGTAATGAAGTGATTACTCATATGAGCAATTCGAATTTCACGGGTCGTAACAGNGCGATGCAAAACTGACGATGCATCACGATATATAATTTCTAATATCGCCCAGTCCTAGTCGTAACAATATACTATGAAAAATATCAGAATTTTAAAAATCATATGGAAGTCTGTATAAATACTGTAAAATCGATTAAAAAACAATGGTGGAATCGACTCGTCAAAAAGTGAATAACAAATGCTCGCAAAAGCCTGTTGCGAAATACTAGGCAAAAATTGTAATTCATTTATCTTGTCGAAAATTCATTTTTTAAAATATTTATGTTTAAGTTCAATTTTTTTCTTCTTACAAGGAATTTGACTTACAAGGAAGATGACTTACGCAAGCCTAGCATGAATTTTCTTCATGATTTTTCCTTGTTTTGATTAGATATCGTCTGCTTTTTTATAATAAAATATTATGTTCCTTAACTCGTCTGCTAATTCATACTTAATTTAATAAAGAGATTTGAATAAAATGTTATATTTAACGAATGTCAAGTTTTATAAAAACATATTTTTGATTGAATGTGGTTATGCACCTGCTTTTTTAATTTTAGTTTTTAATTGATTCATTCCAGAATTGATTTATTTTCAGTAATGTGCA